GTTCTACACCGAGAGGGTTAACTTGAGAATTTTAGAAGTAGATAGGAAGGGTGGACTCAGCAACGAGCATAGCACCGATCATTGGATAAGATTGCTGACGTTGGTCTGAATGCGGTCACGTGCATAAGTTGTACACAAGGTCTTACATTATGTAATATTGCGACATATATGTGAATATATGCTTCGGGCAGCATATATTCACATATACGGTTCAGGCACTTTTGTTGATGGAGTCAAAACTTTAAAAGTGGGCAGCTAGGGGGTCCACTGAGCCTGCGTTTTCCAAAAGCGTCTTGTAACTGTTTTGCATACTCCAACCGAGTCGCTCTTTGAAATGGACTGCAGCCCAATGATAGTAAGCAGAGATTACCCATTCCAAGGTCATGATCTAGCAGACTTAGCACTCTTTGTCCAGAGCACTTACCTATGGCTTCCTCACGTACGTCCAACCATCATGCATCAATCCTTATATCAATCACTAACAACAGTACTTTCCATAGTCAATTATGTCGCTCTCTCTATTCGTTCCTTCTCTTCTCTTCTCCGCATCCGACCACCTCCCGATATCGCAGAAGACCAGCCCCATCCACTCCACACCTTCATCGAAGTCCCTCCTTTCCTTTCGTGCAGCCGCCAAAAAGTACCACATGAGCCTCACTGACGGCGGCGACGGCGCAGGAGAATATGATGTGGTATGCTCTGGGGTACGAGAAGACGGATGCCAGCGCGGAGCATGGCGAAAACCTCAACTGAGAAGACACTGTAATTCTAGAGGATAAGTGGAGTTCTGGCCGTAATACAGAAGGTCCGACTGTCTTTATTCTGTTGGGGTCTGACTACGGGAGACTAAGATCTGACCAGTCTCGATCGTATGGAACAGCGTGAGTAAGTGCTCGTTATTTTACTTCTATGCGTGTCATAACATCCTTTGAGAGTTCAAGTCCAGATTCTGCTCTATTCCCTCAAGCTCTCTCTTCCCAGACCATCCACCCTGTTATCACCTGTAGAATGCCATCCACAGATAACGTTTCTTTTATCCCACCCGTCAAAACCAGTCGCTCGCAGAAGAGAAACCATACTTGACCACCCCTTCCTCCGTCGAGCGTCTCGAGTCCTTCATAGACAAACTTTCCGTGTGGCAGCTTGTATCCATCTTGGCATAAATCTCCCATGCACCCAAATCGCCACAAGATCGAATGTGACTGGATGCCAAGGTTTTGCGAGCCGTAGTGGAGCCTTTGTAGGTATTTGTTTCACGTGTATTCATAACAAGGCTAATTGTTCTAGGTTCAATTAAAGCTTCCATAGCAGTACACGCTCCTTCTCTCCATCCTGCATCTCTCTCTTTCCTTGACTTCCTCGACAGCCTGGACAATACAAGGGACAAAGACAACGATTCCAGCGAGGAGATTTGGCTTCAAAAGTCTTCGCCCGATGTGTCGCCGCTTGGCAAGAGCGGGTGGAGCGCTGCCAAGAAACGTGTCCCATCAGCCGCGTCGGATACGCCTGTCAGGAAGCGCTTGGGAGGTAGGGATGTTAGTTTGTACTGCGAGAGGTAAGGTGCGTGGCGGGCAGCTTCGGTCTCTTATTCATTCGAACACCTTAACTAATGCCTCGTTGATTTGGAAGATACCATTCACCTGCACCAGCAGCATTCAATATCCAATCCTTGATCAAATGTACTGTCTGAGTCGGCATCCGGCGCTCAGCACGACCCATTGAACTTGCTCAATGCACGCAAGGCATTATAGGCCTTCCGAGGCTTTTTTGTGAGGTTTGCCCACCTCTACTAGAGTAAGGACATTAGTGGGCTCAGCCGTGTAATGACCTTCCCACCTGGGTGTCCGTAATTCGGTACAAGACGAGCAAGGCTTTTCATATTGCTGGGCCGCCCGCCGCGTAGTCTAGGGTTGCTTGTTACGTTAGACAATCGGCTCAGATATGTAGGTTGTCTTCAAACTTCAGGAATTCGAAACTGTTAGTTGGTTGATCTTGTTTAGTTTCGGTCAACAGTGTTGTCACTGTCAGTCACTGGTGTTGTCCGGTTTTGTTTTCTACATCGATTGAGTGCAAAGAACGGTTTCAATTATAAGACCGGACAAACCTTACAAGCAGTAGGTAAGTAAGTTGATTAATATTGATTATACCCTAGACTCGGACACGGCATTCGCGGGAACTTCAAAATCAGACGCACGTAAGCAGAGGCTGTTCTGCTTGCTGCATCTGATCAGACAAGCCAGTTTGACTATTTGAACGCGCGGTGATGATTTGCCACCAACTGCTGCAGCAGGATCCTTCATCGCTTACCACACCCGCTCCTACCCGCTCCCGAACTGAATCTTGACGTTTCATAATGCTGGCGCCACATCATCGATCCTCACCTTGAGACAATATAGAGTCTTCGAGCATGATGGCTTGATCGCACTGTCATCGGGTGCCAATAGTTCAGTATGAGACGAGCAAGGCTTTTCAAATTGAATCGTTTCATATTGCTGGTGCCACGTAGTATCAGGGTTGCTTGTTACGTTAGAGAAGCGGCTCAGATATGTAGGTTGCCTTCTTCATGAATTCGACACTGTCAGTTGGTTAATCTGGTGTTGTTCTCGGTCAAACGGTTTCCAAGTTATAGGATCGGCGAAACCTTGCAAGCAATGTAACAATGTAAGTAAGTCGATTGATTAGATCCCAGACTCGCCACGACATTCGCGGGAACTTCAGAACTAGATGCATATAAATTGAACAATGGCCAAGTCCCAAAATCCTCAGAGATAATCGCCTCGTTTCCAGTGAGTAATCCTGAGACTTTAACACTTGGGCAACTTGACCATTGTATCCATTCGACATTTAGCTGTTGCTGGACGTGTTATAGCACCTTCACGTACACACGGTGACACACAATCAAAATTTCGACGGTAGGTATTTTCCTGGCACTGATGGTCATCACTAACGTATATTCTAGATACCATGAAGATTCAGTTCACCTACATTGCCATCCTTGCCTGCTGCCGCTGGGGTGAAGGCAGCAGCTCTTACTAGTGCAGTCTGCGTAGACATGTGCTACAGTGATAACACTCAATGCCTCAGGAACAAAGGCTACTATCCCATCTATGACTCAGAGACTGGCTGCTGGGTCTGCTGCAATGACACATGAGGGGTAGCCATCGAGTTTGTGCAGATGTCGTATCTCGTCGAATTGTCCAGTGTCATAGGTTCTGAAGTCGTTGTAGATGCCACTAAGTAGATAGCGATTCCAATGAAATACTAACCGTAGGTTCGCATGTTCGCCAGCTCCTGCGATATATGTATCACTACTCAGTAATTGTATTAAAAAAGGAACCTAGGAGAGGTGTATTGCATCAATGTTTGGACTCGTCGAAAAACTATCGTTTTACGATCCCTGACATTCCCTGTTTGGTATAGTCTCAGGTGAACTGAATTGATTTCTAACACTTAGACTGCGCGAAATTTCAGCCGCTTTTGCTGATGTGGGGACATTAATTGGGAAGTCCAAACTGGTCTCATTTGTCCCAAAGGTTCGTCGATGCATGTCACGCCTCAGTCGAAGTTTTACATCGGGAGGGTCACCTAACTTTGGATTTCTGGAAGCAAATGGGAGGGGTGGACTTGGCGATTGACGAGCATAGCAATCATTGAATTAATGTCAAGTTGGTCTGAACGCAGTCACGTGCAGCGCGTCACTGTAGATGTCGATTGAAGATTCAGCAAGTTTCAATGTCTTGCATACACCAGCCTCGCTCAAGTGGACTGCGGCAGCCCAAGAAAAGAGTCTCAACAATAATTTTTCCTTCGTCTTCACCCGTATGGTGTAACACCTGCACATTTATTATTTGTGCGTTCCGCACCTTGCGTGGTGCGCGTTTTCGTCAAAAATTGCGCGTTGTCTTTTTATCAGCTGATTGTTTCTACAGCTAGCAGGCCAAGCCACTATATCACGCTTAGCTGATGATATCTACAAGCACAACACAGACGAGTAAGTCCGTTTCCCACTCCCAATTTTCTTAATCAAATCTGCGCGTTGTCTTTGTATCAGCTGATTTTTTCTACAGCTAGCAGGCCAAGCCACTATATCACGCTTAGGAATGATATCTACCAGCACAATACAGACGAGTAAGTCCGTTTCCCGCCATCTCGCCCAAAGATGCTGATGTGAGTGGGCTCCCCAAACTTCCTCGTCTCCATTTAGTTGCTGCCTGTAGTTCTTGTAGTGCAACTCCTTCGTCATCGAGATGAGGTCGAGCATGTGCATAGAGATAGGTAGAGAGTGTTCCTCGTCTCCATCTGTTGCTGCCTGTAGTTCTCAGTAGTGCAACTCCTTCAGTCGTCGAGATGAGGTCGAGCATGTGCATAGAGATAAGTAGCGAGCATTCCTCGTCTCCATCTGTTGCTGCCTGTAGTTCTCATAGTGCAACTCCTTCGTTGTCGAGATGAGGTCGAGCATGTGCATAGAGATCAGTAGCGAGCATTCCTCATCTCCATCTGTTGCTGCCTGTAGTTCTTGTAGTGCAACTCCTTCGTCATCGAGATGAGGTCAATCGCAAACCCGGGGTGTCTATGACAGTAAGTTTGACCTTGAACTGCTTTTCCTCAAGCTCAGCCTTGATGATTTCGACTTTGGTGAACCAGCGCTTGGTGAGCCTAAGTGACAACACATCTGCATCCAATGAGTGTCCGCAAAGTAGTAACGAGTGAATCATGTATCTGACTGCAAGATATCATTAGTAGGTGAGGCATTACGAGGGTGCAAGTTGAACGTAGCGATACGGAATGAAATGACGAGGATACTAGTATGTACTATGATGCACAAAGAACAAAAACTACGAAATTAATGCGCCTGTCATTTAAAAAACAGACCTGGTCACTGCGAGATAGCCTATGCCGACTCTCAAATTACTCGGAGGTTGGCAAGATTGAGCATAGAGTAATGGGAGTCCCATGGATTGATGTATTCCGCGAAAGGGTCATCGTCCTGTATCTTGTTGCGCCACAGGACATCCGCTTCACTGACCGACACAAAGTCTGGTGGAGTGGATATCTTGTTCTCTACTTTGAGGGTAGCTGGCACTCGACTAGTCATAGTACGAAACGATACCGTTTCTGAAATAACAGCAGCGCAGATGTTCATCAACAAGTAGTATAAACGTCAAACGAGTGGAATGATAAACTCACTATAGCTATTGGATTGAGCGCTGGGCTGGGTCGACGGATGAAGTTTGAGTTCAGGGCTCGCAGATTCAGAGTTCATTGAAAATAAGGGAACGGCAGTGTCACTTGCAGGTTCTAGAACAACAAATAAAATAAGCTTGGTTGTCACAATATTTGAGAGACGAACCCTTTTTGAGTTTCTTCTGGACTGCTTTCCTAGTGGCTTCTGATGGTGACGGGGAAAGCAGAGTGTGACTGCGCTTTGCTATAGAAATAGATGAGTACATAATACTATAATTTGAATCACAAATAGTACTCACCGTTCCAGCTTCTCATTGGTGACCTAGTAGGTGCCGCTTTTGCCTTGCCCTTGCCTTTTGGGTCCTTAACGTCCAAATCCGAGGACATATCAAGTTCCATCAATGAACTCGCAAGATCATTGTCTGACTTGATGCTAACTGAATCATCGGTGTCGGACAAAAGGATATCGTTACAATCGTCGTGTTCAGAATCCGATCCAGCTATCACGGGTTGAGTGTTCCAAGACTCGTAAACGCTATCAGGAATCCGGTTCCTTGTGACTAGCGCCAGTAGTATTTCATGAGTACAACTTGAACGAAGCAAAAAATGAACGAGAACACACCAAACCAAAGATGACAATCACTAACACTTGCTTTGTCCCGGCCCTTGTGTTTCGCAAGATCACTCCCAGCTGGAAACCCGATATCGACGACTGTTAGCGTTTGTCCGCACTTGTTGAGGAGCCGCCAAATTGGCTTCTCTTCACGTAACGTAGCTGATTGTCGCTTCTCGACTTGACCGTCGAGGTAATCAAAGACTTTAGGAAACCAACTTTGTAACTGACTGGTGACCTTGCGATAAGTCCATCCACCTTCGATGACGAACTGCTGTTCAAGGTAACAGCCACGGTTTTTCATCGCCTGGATCTCGTTTTGGCCGTTCTTGCTCGGGACTTTGGATACTCTGATAAGACCATTCCTCTGTCAAAAACTGAGTTAGCAAGTTAATCTGTCTCTCGAGGGCTCTTGACTGACATCAACACCGCAAGTCAACATGGCCACTGATGCAACACGAAATGTGTTCCCTGACATTGAGACACTAGAAGAGGTGTTCCTGCGCACTTGGCTTCCAACCATTTGTGAGCTGGTGATTTCCTTATGATCCTGAACGCAATTTTCATGTGAATATATATTTTTGTGCACTACTAGGATAACACTTACCTTTCGCGAGCCTGCTGACGGTACTGGGCCCTTGGCCAGCTTATGATAACCGGCAAGCCGAGTTGATGTCAGAGTTGATAACGCTTCCTCTCGAGCACTGGTGAGCGGCACTAGGCTTCCTTGCTTGCCTGTAGTGGCAAGCTTCAGGTTGTCATTGACGGTTTTTCCACCAGTGATTCGAGTGAAAATATCCTTGATAGCGACTGCAGAACTTGGATGAGGTTTTTCATCAGCATCCTCTTGAACTTCCAGTACCGGTTCACGACTCGTTGAAGCTTTGCGGGGGTGCTTACTGCGACCATGGCCACACTCCGCGCAATGGCCTTCATCCTGTATGTGAGGGAAAAACTCCTCACAGTCACACATTTGACTGTCCGACTTGAGGCCTCTGCAGAAGAGTTCTTGATTCAAGTTGTTGCCTTTGGGATCCATGGCTCGGGAATTGGAGGGCACTGGTGAAAGGGAATGCGGAGACGACTTGAAGCAGTAGACTCGACGTGCAAATGACCTGAAGCAAGGTAATTACGTAGATGGCCCGGCAGTTTATATACAGCTAACAAGGATATGACATTTTACATTGACATGTAGTACTTGTTAGTCGCTACTGGCAGTTAGAAAATATGACAAAACTAATAACGCCTGACACCATAATTTTGCTCAATTAAACCAGATCAGTTCAGCAAGTGAAACGTGGAGTTCTTTTGATCCTTGTCGACCAAAGGTAATAGTCTCGAATGTTGGGTATTCATCTCCGTCCCACTCATCTAGCGTTAGTCTGCAATTGTTTGGCGTGATATCATTGGCTATAACTTCATCAAGGGTGGTGGAAAACTGCTGTCGTGTTGCGTCATCAACAAAAGGGTTCTGTTGTGACGGCATGCTAATGGCCTCATGACGGATCTGGTGTCTTTGCTGGTTGTTGATGGCCTGTACCATAGTACTCGGATGTTCGCCATCGCTATCTGAGTCGCTGTCTTCTTCATCAGCAGGGTGTCCAGCTTCTGTTTGATGACGCTGTCGAGTTGTCGTGTGACCATGGACCCCGTAGTACTCGTTAATCACGTCAGGATGCACACCTTCACAGTCATCATGATAGATGCCAAACTGCAAGTGCCCTAAAAAACGTAAATCTTATGTGTCCGTCCAGTAATTTGTCAATGTTACATCAAAAATTCAACTGCGAGTTTACCTTGGGACTCTTATTGTTGGTGTCAGGACCGCAAATGGGATGACAGTTCCATTCCGCCTGAAAATTTAAGCAATCCGAATTGATTTCATCAAGAAATAAACTCTGGAGCAACCAGATGTGATTCGCGGCCTGAGGGTCAAGCCCATGATAATTTTCGAGTCAGGTAAAGAACGCTCTCCATCTCCTAGCAAATTGAGTGCCAACCTCGACCCACAAACATTTGATTCGAGTATTCCGAGTAGAGCTTAGTACGTTGGGTGTTAGTACTACATAACATAAACCAATGGGATCACAACTCACGATCCCCACATGAAGGAGGCACGCCATGGTCCGTTCTTCATTATCATGTAAGTTGCTATATCGAGATTCTCTCCACCCCGATCTCCTCGCACTCGAGAAGGCGTCCCGAAAACTTGCGTCGCCTGCTTAAAAACGTCCAAAACAGTTGTCAAACGATTGTTATTACTTGCTTGCAATCCCATTATCTGGCAGAAATACAAATGAGAATCAATAAACTGTACAAACAAACATATCAAACTGTTCTGCAGAAACCGTCAATAAAACCGTGAATCACTATCCCCCAGCGAATTAATTTATGGTGCCCATCGATGTGCCACAATGCATTAGGCCACTTAACATGATACTTACACCGACGTTTGACCCGTCGGTCGCGCAACACCTGACCTAATCTGTCGACTCTGCGGAGCGATTCTACCACCCGTCGATGCTGCACTCGCAGTCCATGCCTGTGGAGAAAACCAATGATGTACCTTATACCTGAATCAGTTGATGCTACACTCGCAGTCCATGCCTGCGGAGAAAACCAATGATGCACCTTATACCTGAATCAGGCCGCTTTTTCTTGAACTCGGTGATGAGAAGATCAAGGTCGATGTTAGTAAGGTTCAAGTATTTTCTTTCAACTCCATAGCGCTTCATATAACGTCGTAATGTGTTCCTGTGGACTCCGAGCATTTCAGAAAGCTCAGTAAGTTTGATTTGTCGGGAAGTCGAGACTGCTTCAGTGAGGAATCCAACATCGATCATTTTTTTTGGACGCCCTGGACGCCCTGTGTGCAACAAGGCCACTGGTTCCGGAAACACGACATTTTCATCCATGCTGTTGCACAATCAATGACGCAAAATACATATCAGAGATGGATTACCAATTCTGCATATTGTACTGAAATGACGACAAAAGCACGAAGAGATCTCCCAGCAAATGTGCTGTATGAGAGAGCCAATCTTGCATCTCATGTCCTTGAGGGTCGCATGCGAGGGCTTCAAGCAATGGGATAGCATCCCCTGATACAGCATCTATATGAAATGTGAGCTGGATTGGGTCGGCATCTTCTTGACTAAGAATACGATGGGCGCGTCGGTAAATATCTGACAAAGTATTGTGGGCAGTGCGAATATTTGCAGACCACGGATTCTGATTTAGCATGTGAGACGGAAATTGAGGCAAAGCAGTTGGTAGCGCAGGCATCACAATAGATTGACTTGAATATGGTGTAGCCACTGTAGCGTTTGATGACCATTGACGACCAAAACAACATAAGCAAAGTGTGCGCGTGAGACGAGGCAAATAACAGTCGCAAACATACGGTTCTAATTATTTCATAGCTGATCTTTGTTCTTGTACATCCTTTCGAATCGTCAATATGTCAAAGGCAACTTGACACCCTATTTACTACTTTCATGCGTCAAGCCATATCTTCCAGGTGTGTTTTACTAATTTATTCTTCATTTTGGACTCACAACTTGAAATATTTTGTGCCGGCAGGTTGAGAACATACTGTACAAGCTCTGCAGTTCAATTTTATCTTCAGCTTCCAACGTCTTTTGTGACATGTTTGCTGCTACACAGAACAGCGGTCAAATAGAGCTGGACGGCATGAGCAATGACAAGCCCATTCACCTCAAAGGAATATCCCGGGACGCCTTTGAGTTGTTTCTCGAGCTTACCTTCGGAAGGTATGTTGATGCCCTTATTCTTCTATGTAGCCACTTGACAATCTGTACTAGGATACGTGCCGGCTCATATACACTCGACGAGCTTACAAAATTCCTCCATTTCTGCGACATGTACCAATGTTGTCATGCGCGAGAATTTATTGTTTCCCATGTGTTTGCAGCACATTTCCGCTTCCACCCAGCTCAACTAATAAACCTGGCTATCAAATATCACATCCGTTCACTTTTCCCATTTGCTTTTCAGCAACTTGCAGAAACTCCCATTACCAAGATCACCCATGCACACCGGGAGCTGATGGGCAACGAGGTCTTTCTAAATGTGGTTTATGTTCAAGCTGCCCTTGATCACCATCGTCAAATTGTGGCTGCGGAGGAACCAAGAATATTGATGCACTCGAATGATTGCGATGACCCGGCTGGTTGCAGCGAGGATTGGCACGCTACATGGTGGAATGGTATGGGCCGTTTTCTTCTCGATGGTAGGAACCCTCAACCATACGGCGATGCCGTCAAACGCTTCAAGGATATGTTGTTTGGCCGTGTCAGCAAGGGCTGTAAAGATCTTATGTTCAAAATTCTCGATGAGGGTGCAGCATTCCATCATGCAGAACACTTTATTACCGAGGCCTGCCAATTTCTGTTAGAGAAACTGGTATTTGAGCCCTAACATCTTGCTAGTAGCTACTATTGTGTACTGGTTTACAAGGACTTTGGCATGGTCTCGTCATATTTGTAGCAGCTTGAAGGACTCAGCGTCAATACATGTACCGTAGAATATATGTCCATCACTCACAATGAACAGAAGCCGGAATAGAGACTCATTCCTAAGTGTGATATAGTGGCTTGGCCTGCTAGCTGTAGAAACAATCAGCTGATACAAAGACAACGCGCAGATTTGATTAAGAAAATTGGGAGTGGGAAACGCGCACCGCGCAATTTTTGACGAAAACGCGCACCGCGCAAGGTGCGGAACGCGCAAATAATAAATGTGCAGGTGTTACACCATACACCCGCGTCGAGCGTCTCGAGTCCTTCATGGACAAACTCTCCATGTGGCAGCTCGTATTCCTCATGGATACATCTAGCACGCATGGAACTCGCCATAAAAACAAACTTGACTGGATGCGAAGGTTTTGCCAGGACGTAGTGGAGCCTCTGTAAGTGTTCATTTCACATGTATTAATAATTAGGTTAATCGATCGTTTAAATCAAAGCTTCCAGAGCAGTGCACCCTCCTCCGCTCTAAACTCTTCCCAACTCTCCCTTCTTTGAGTCAGATGATCCCCCTTCTCCTGGACCCTCTACAGATAAATCCCTTCCCGGTTCTCGTTCTCGCCATATATAACCTACTACTGCCGCAGGACCGCAATCGCTCACCCTCCGAGTCGTTCGCCTGGGAAAAGAAAACAAACGCGCAGCAAGCGCGGGTGCAACACAGGACAAGGCACTGCAAGTGTACTGACCCAGCAAACAAGCATGTCGCGTGCGTAGAGGGGAAAAGATTGGTCTAAGACTGCGGTGTCGCAGACAGACATAAAGGCACCTGCTGCAACCGCTAAGTGCGTCAAGTCCTCTCGATCTCACTCAGCGCAAGTGATTACCCTCGTATCCGCTACGCCCGTAAAGAAACCCTATCCTCATGCCAGATCAAACGCATCAGCTCGGACCTCGTGTCCAATACTATAGCCAGGAGCTCAAGTTCACACCGCACCGAGAGGAGTGTACATACCGCAGGAACAAGCTCTCCCCGCACCCCACTGGGAGATCGTCAATCCCTCCTACTTCCCGCAGCTAGAGCCTTACACCGGCCAACATTGACGATGACGAGCTTCCTCCCGCATCTGTCCATTCACTCGACCAATGCAAGAGACAAAGACGAGGATTCCGACGAGGAGATTTGGTTTCCAAAGTCTTTGCCCAATATGTTCCTGCTTGGCAAGAGCGGGTGGAGCGCAGGTGCCAAGAAACACGTCCGTCAGCTGCGTCGGATATGCCTGTCATGAAGTGCATGAGGCTTGGGAGGTAGGGATGTCAGTTTGTACTGCGAGAGGTGAGGTGGGTGGTGGGTAGCTTCAGTCTCTTATTCATTCGAACACCTTAGCTAATGCCTCGTTGATTTATCAGATACTATTCACTGCATCGCCATTCAATATTCAGTGTTCAATCCTTGATCAAATGTACTGTCCTGGTCGGCATCCGGCGCCCAGCAGGAGACACATTAAACTTGCTCAACGCACACACGCTCTCCAATTTACGCATCCTTAAAGTTTAAAACGTGGTGTAATGCAGTTTCCATCAGGGAACACATATTCTGGTTTTGCCGGCTCCGGGCGGGTCGGTTGAACAATCCTCACAATGATCGCCACTAACACGGGCTCGACACAATGTCAATCCCGCAGCCTCTCAAACTCAGAATATTGTCCTTAACATGAAACTAGTGCACTAGTGCCACCATTAGGCACACACATATGGGGCACGGGGATTGTTTTCTGGTATGTATTCAAACGACTGTCTTGCACTAGTGCGCTGATGATATATTATCTATCATTGTCTTTATAACTACTTCCATTCTTCCCTTAGGGTGCATTCCTGCTTAACACTGCAACAGCCTTCTGCTACTCTAGTAAGCTGAGTTATTCCCTTCCAAAATCGAACACTCTCAGGTAGGGCTATAATTTCCTGGCAAGGCATCGTAGGCCTTCCAACATTTGCAAAGTTACGCATCATGTATGGCCTTCCGAGGCTTCGTCAGTGAGGTTTGCCTACGTCTACTAGAGTAGGGACACTAGTGGGCTCGGACTTGTGATGCCTTCCGGCTAAATGTACTTCCAAGGATCCAGTGATTACCCCCAATTGGTACTTCGAATGTCCGAGAATCGCCGTACTATAAAACTGCGGTCATGGTAACTTTATCGCCATGCCCATCCCCCGCACCAATAATTTCCCAGGGAGCACGAGAAGTAATGTCCAAGCCTGAGCTGAGCCTGGCCAGCGAGCTTACTCGTTCACCAAGCCATCATCTCAACCTCGAGAAGGACAAGCACCATGCCGTTGAGCGCAGTCTTTTGCGCTCCGTTTTCATTGTCGTGGCCTGCACCGCTGTATTGGTGGTCAACGTATGTCCTCATCATGGTCATATTCCTCGACATTTTTTGTGACGTCTTGCCCTATTGACTACAGGCTTCTAATTCCACTTCTGTCTCTATCTCGCTCCCAACCATCGAAAGGGACCTAGATATTGACGAAGCACAGCTGCAGTGGGTTGTATCTGCCTATTCGCTTAGTTCGGTGCGTGCTCGCTTCTCTCCAATGACCATCTCTTTTCGTCCCGGCTAACTTCCCACCAAGGCTTGCCTTCTCTTATTCTTTGGTAGATTGGCGGATCTCTATGGTCGAAAAAGGGCGTTCGTAATCGGTAATGTCTGGCTAGTCGCCTTGTCTCTTGGTTGTGGCTTTGCACAAAGTGGGTGCAGCCTTCCAATTTGTCGGCCAGTTCAGTCTACTCAGTCCTATCACAGATGGTCTTATCCTGGCCGTCTTGCGCGCCTTCCAAGGCGTTGGTGGCGCCGTTACAATACCCTCTGCAGTGAGTGATATCTATACCCTGTGGACAGGAAGTTTTCATCCAGTATGTCAGCTCGGTATCCTGGCGCATTCATTCCCTCCCTCTAGAGCGCGCTCAATAGCATTTGCAACTTTTGCAGCGGGTGCTCCTGTTGGAGGCGCATTTGGCGGGGCGATAGGCGCCGTCCTTGTAGAATTTTCTCCGTGCGTCATGAGTTGGTCATGCACGACACCATTTTAATGTCTTCATACAGGACGCATTGGCGCTCCGTATTCTATTTGACTGCTGGAATTTCTGCCCTAACAGGAATTACCGGTATGATTTCATTCGACGCGGATGTTCCCTCAACGGAAATCGTGGAACGTGTCGACTGGATCGGGGCCTCGCTTGTCACCATCGGTTTGGTGTTAATTGTATTTGTACTTGGTCAAGGAGAACTCGCCTCTCAAGGCTGGAAAACTCCGTGTGAGACTTCCCCTCTCTCATATATTGCGTTATCGCTAAATTGCGCATCATCGCTAGATATTATTGTGCTTCTCATCGCCGGGGTTATCATGGTTTCACTGTTCCTGCATTGGGAACGACACTTGGAGCAAGTTCAAGATGATCCATCTAGAACACCGTCCGCATGGACACCACCGCCACTGATGAGGCCCTCGACTTGGACGCGAGCCAAAGGTCGGATGGCTGTTATCCTCGCCATCGCATTCTTAGAATGGAGCGGATTCATGAGCTGGCTCTTCTGGATGCAGGCATGTCGACTTCATTCTACCTTGTCGGGACGTAATGGCGCTGATTATGCCCCGTTCTAGTTGTACTATCAGAACTACTTGTCACTCACACCGATACAAAGTATGGTCCGGCAAATTCCAATGCCCATTTTCGGCTGTTTGTGCAACGTTTTCGTTGCGATGGTCATTGCCAAATTGCCTTTGGTCGTCTTTGTAGGTATGGACTCCACACGAGGAATGTATTACATGTGAAGCTAACTCGTCGTCCAGTAAGTGGAACGCTGCTAACAGCGTCTGCCGGCGTCCTGTTTGCCCTGATTGATCCATCTGCCACGTACTGGTCCTTTTGCTTCCCGTCCGCGGTTCTTGTCGTGTTTGGCGCTGATTTTGTGTACTCATCTGGTACACTTTTCATCGCCAAGCACGCGCTCCCACATGAGCACAGCGTGGCCGGAGCGCTGTTCCAAACTATGACACAGGTAAGTGCCTTTAAAAGTAGCTAACGTTGTCCTGTTCTAAGGTCGGGTTCTTCGGGATAGCTCGGCAATGCATTCGGTCTCACTATAACCACCATTGTGTTTAACACTGTGATTCAAAAAAAGTCTGTTGACCTTGGCGTCACTGTCAATTCCGCTGGCACCAACGTGCCTCGGTCCGCACAGCTTGCGGGATATAGATCTGCACAATGGACTTCCGCTTCATTGGCACTCATGGGTGAGCACTGCGATTTTGGCCCTGCGTTGAGACAGCCTTACCGACGATCTGTAACTATAGCCGCGCTGTTGGCAGGGCTTTTCCTTCGCAGTGTGGGGATTGTGGGAGACAAGAAAATTATCGAGCATACTGACTCTGATCAGACCAAGACGGTACAGCCTGAATTGAATGGTGCCAAAACACCGTCCACATCCAGCTCAGCAGATATCATCACCTAGTAAGGAACACCTCATACTATCATAGATCCTCGCGTATGTACCCTCCTTCTCAATTGTTCGATCATATCATTGTGCTCGAATCGAACCGAAATTCCATGTTAGACATCTTCCATCACGAATTTTCTATGTACTCTTATTGCTTAGATTCTCTGGCATTGTATTGTTCTGTCGTTTCCGTTTCCTTGTTTACCCGGTGAGATGTACCGGTAATAACACCTGTAGAGCATTACTCCTTATTTTGCGTGACATGTACTACTAATACAACGACTTTGACCCTCTTCGAGCCTACATTCGCGTACTGTGGCACGTGCGGTGATTCTAATACTTGTTCTCTTCCATACGTTGGCGTACGAAATACCTGCATGTGGTTATTCATGTAAATGCATGGAACAAGCTTTGAGTACTGAACTATACAAATAACCATTGCTGGCTTGCATCATGGATGACTGCAGGGCTGCGAGGTATGAACATGTGTGACTTGCGTGGTGAGTGGTGGTGTAGCAAGGAGGCGTCACCATAAAAACCGGAGACAGCACAGCCAACGGAGGAGTTCACGAGAGGCCGCGTAACTGATACCACTTTGATATCGCACTGCATTTCCAGATCAGCGAGTCCTTTCTTTTATACGACTTTTCAAGGATTATTTTAAGACTACTTGCGAGTGGGTATCTATAGCTGAAATTTGTTTAAAACTGCAGTGGAGATGAGTGGCGTTGTAGAAAGTCGGGTGCTACCGTGGCTCGATGTCTTGGCCATCAAGTTCGATGATGGTTAACTGATGGTTATCGATCGAGAAAACACACTTGGTAAGGCTTGCGTGCCATGTCCAGTAATCGGCAATGATATCGCTTGCGTGGTGTGAACATATATGACGGCGCGAGGCACATCTAGCCATTCGTCATAGATCAGAGCACATAACACTATAAAGAAGACATGCACCAATGCAGAAGTGGGCAGCACTTAGACTTGGAAGGACGACATTGATTCATCAGGTAACTGGCTACCAGATGAATCGGTTCAAACTTCAGAGTAACGTAGGTCAGCACGCGAGGAACTAGACGAACGAACGACAAGACTAGGTGATGATGTATCCAGAAACAAACCTTTTCTGGTGACGGGCACTGATACAACAGTAAGGGCACTTCTGTCAGTGTCGTGGAATTCTCAAGTGTCAATGAAGAAGCAGGATCTTTGACGATAATGTTCCGATCTAATCCTGGGCCTGCCAACTGAACGTATTGAGCCGCCGCACTCCCAGGCATGACCTGAACCCTCCTGAACCTAATACCTGAACATCGTGGTTCAAGTTCTACCAGTACTTGCAGTGCTGGCAGAAACGATAGCGATGCAGGCGCTGAGGCTCGACATCAATTCTACTACGAGCATATTGCCAACCACTGAATCAACTTTGATAAGTAAATGATTCTAACGTGTTGGAACTTGGCACCAGCCGCATTCTGAATGCACGGTTGCGTGCAGCGCGTCTCATTGACGATCGCCAGTTCAACATGGTGAACCCAATGCACATGAGAAGTCTACCGCAAGTCTGCGATCGTCACGAGTAGTACGGAACACTGTATTCATGCAGCACAGCGTACAATAGAATGAGCGATACAGCAGGCACGCCGGGGCCTCGACACGGACGAACGAAGCTTGTAGCCCTGGCGCAAAGAAAAATATACATTCAGGGCTAGCGACAAGCCACGAGGAATTACACCTAGATCCTGTCTAAAGCATGTAATCATATCCATCCCACACACTACCCGCGTACACATATACATATGCACACGACACGAGGCGGGATTGTTTAATATTGCACCGGAAAAACCACTTCAGGAACTGCAATGAGCAATGCGGTGCCTGTACACAGTGGTGCGTTGATTGAGGTGTCGGTGGTAGCAGCCAATTGGGACATGGAAAAAGGAGGAAAGAGGAAAGAGAGAGATCCGATTCCTGAAAGATTGAGAAAAATCTCGGTGAATTTTGACGCTGAGAGACCTCTTTGTTGGGGTGCAGCAGTAAACCATGAAAAGCTTTATTATAAACAAAGCGGTTCCGAGTCACATCAAATTTCGATGGGTTTGTGACAGTAGCCTGAGCCTTATTATGAAGAATCAGAAGATGAAACAACCTAGAGCCTGGAGGCTATATGTAAGGATGACGCGAGTTGGTTCAATTTTTTTTTTCGAGTTCAGTTAAATCAGTTTGCATATGTTGAATCCGCAAGGCGTTGTCAAACACGCGCAAATACATTCCTTCGCCAATTCGTAGTACTTCAACTTCAAACAGCTCACTAGCTAGGCTAAGTTCCACACAAGGTCTATCTAATACTACAGTCCTGTATGGATATGCCTGAAACATAGTTCAAGAAAGCTGAAAGACTCAGCTTGTTCTGGAATCTGCTCACTCAATCCGCACACATACTGACAACTTCTCACTTTTTCTTGAACTGATATGAAGTCCATCTTTTCCTGCGTAGGACGCTCTTGGAATTCTTCTTCGTCCGAGCACACAAGCACACGAACGGTCCGTTGCCTTCATCGATGATCATCCAGAGCTTTGGATCTCAAGTACAGTACATCATTGTAGGAAACTGAGCGACGCAGCTCTTTCCAAGCCACTCGCCCTCAATCTGCATACCCACAACTCACCCACCAACGCGGCGAATGCCTATTGCCCAACCAAATCTGTCAGCAAGTCTACCCTTTCCTGCAGACGTTCAGCTCAGCGCCGTCACTACCGCGTACGAGCTGCTATTGATATTCTGATGGGCAGCAGTACCTGATTCGCGGGGATGATTCATAGCGGGTTCAAAATTTAAATCGTGGACTCATTTAAAATTTGACTCGGTACCAGCACATTGCGCAATTGTCGGACACCAACTGGAGGATTTGCTGATGCGACTGTTTGTCTGGTGTCTTCAGGTGCCCCATGGCAAGTCGATATGTCTGAGGTTGAGTACTGAGTGATCCTATCGATGTGACTCGAAGTCCGCCTGAAAATGCATGGTCTTTATGTATATCAATTGCTCTGCACTGACATACGGCCCTCTGATATCCAACTTCCTCATCTGTCTTGCACCCAGAGGCCAGCTGAGCTTTAAAACTGACTTGATGAACGAAGACAATATCATGTTACTAGGAAGAGGGGGAGCAGCCCGTGAAAGTGCTGCGGCCTGGGGTATGGAACATCGCCCTCACGATTACTATTGTTTCTCATGATATCGTTGCTTGCAGCCGTATTTTGGATTTCGCAGAGGAGCCCAAGGGTTCCCCAGCTGGGAAAAGGTAGGCAGGGGCTGTTCCGCTTGCTGCACGGGTCTCCGAACCTGCACCCCCGGTTGCCAGTTGCAGCGGATGAGATCCCTCATCTGATCAGACAAGCCAGGTAAGTGCAGGTTTGACTATTTGAACGCGCGGTGATGATTTGCCACCAACTGCTGCGGCAGGATCCTTCATCGCTTACCACACCCGCTCCTACCCGCTCCCGAACTGAATCTTGACGTTTCACAGTGCTGGTGCCACATCATCGATCTTCACCTTGAGACAATATAGAGTCTTCGAGCATGATGGTTTGACCGCACTGTTACCGGGTGCCCATAGTTCGGTATGAGACGAGCAAGGCTTTTCAAATTAAATCGTTTCATATTGCTGGTGCCACGTAGTATCAGGGTTGCTTGTTTCGTTAGACAAGCGGCTCAGATATGTAGGTTGTCTTCTTCATGAATTCGACACTCTCAGTTGGTTAATCTGGTGTTGTTTCGGTCAAACGGTTTCAATTATAGGATCGGCGAAACCTTGCAAGCAATGTAACAATGTAAGTAAGTCTATTGATTAGATCCCAGACTCGTCACGACATTCGCGGGAACTTCAGAACCAGATGCATATAAATTGAACATGGCCAAGTCCCAAAATTCTCAGAGACAATTGCCTCGTTTACAGTGAGTAATCCTGAGACTTAAGCACTTGGGCAACTTTACCATTGTATCCATTTCACATTTAGCTCTTCCTGGACGTGCCACAGCACCTTCACGCACACACAATCAAGATTTCGACGGTGCGTAGTTTCCTGGCACTGATGGTCATCACTGACGCATATACTAGATACCATGAAGATTCAGTTCACCCACTGCCTCGCCATCATTGCCGCTGCCGCTGGGGTGAAGGCAGCAGCTCTTACTAGTGCAGTCTGCGTAAGCAAGTGCTACATTGATAACATTGAATGCGATACGACGGCAGGCTACTATCCCATTTGGGTAGAGCCTCTCTGCTGGATCTGCTGCAATGACATCTGAAGGGTAGCCATCGAGTTTGTGCAGATGATATATTTCGTCTGATTGCCTAATGTCATGGGTTCTGAAGTCACTAAGTAATTGTTGGCTTTCAACGTGAAAATCCCAGGCGAAGTTTTCGGCGGAGGATCACGCTTTTAGGTGCGTGATTGGCGGGCAAAATCACACTCGAAACGTGACTTGGCTGTTTCCCCCAGGATTGAGCGGAAGTGTCCTTTCTCGGAAGAAATCCCGCCTGTGCAAGCTGTGCCACCCGCAACGACGTCTTCAACTGCCTCTGAGTTCGCAATCCACCACCTCAGCACCATCACACATCACCAATCGTGCGTTCCACTTCTCTCGAGTGTCCGTCAAGTTCATGGATCGTTCGGACGTCGACTCCGAGATACCAATATTGATCCCGTCCTCCGTGCGCTGTCCAATCACAACACGCCATCACCAGCGCCACTCGGAAACACAACCCCCCAAGCAACACAAAACGGTGCGTGCACCTCGATTTCGCATTTGACATTCACTGTTCTTGCTTTGGGAACGACACTTGGAGCAAGTTCAAGATGATCCATCAAGAGCACCATCCGCATGGACACCACCGCCACTGATGGGGCCCTCGATTTGGATGCGAGCAAAAGGACGGATGGCTGTTATTCTTGCCATCGCATTCCTAGATTGGAGCGCCTTCATGAGCTGGCTCTTCTGGGTTCAGGTATGTCCAATTCCTGCTGACATTATGACGCTCATTATCCTCCGTTCTAGTTGTGTTATCAAAATTACATGTCGCTTACACCGATGCAAACTATGGTCCGGCTCATTCCAGCGCCTGTTGTTGGCTGTCTGTGCACCATGTTCGTTGCAATAGTCATTGCCAAATTGCCTTTGGTCGTCTTTGCATGTACGGCTCTATGCGAGGAAAGCATAACACATGAGGCTGACTCGTCATCCAGTGGAACGCTACTGAAAGCATCTGCCGGCATCCTATTTGCACTGATTGATGCATCTGCCACGTACTGGGCATTTGGCTTCCCGTCCGCGCTTCTTGTCGTGTTTGGGACTGATTTCGCGTACTCCTCTGGTACACTTTTCACCGTCAAAATTGCACTCCCACATGAGCAGAGCGTGGCCGGAGCGCTGTTCCAAACTATGACACAGGTAAGTGCCTGTAAAGTGATTACCCCTGTCCCGTTCTTGATCAATTTTCGTACTGTCCGGGTCTCTATCCGGAGCTCAGCATGAAACCGATTGGCTAACTTGCACAATGTCCAATGAGGAATGCAGTGTGCTTTTCCTTTCAAAGCTCCATCCCCAACCTGGAATTGCGTCATGGAGAGTACTTGACCCAGTCTAGCTCGACGGGGATATCACTCCGAGAATCGCAACGCTCTAGCTGGTAGTAATTAATTGGTAAGTATGTACCACATTATTTATATATGTAATCGTAACGGCGCTCGGCCGCGCCAGTCGGCCCAGTCCCTGACACCTATGCAATCATCTGGTAAGTAGTGTCCCCAACTATACCGCCAACTTGCATGATACAGTAACATAGTAGCTTGTAATTATATGCATGGCCCTCAATGGCTGGGTGGCCTCTGGTGGCCCAAAAAGTTTCGGTAAATTGTCGGTGAAATAGCGCTTTTCTGCGACTGTCGGATGCCGGGGCTCTCTTACACCCGCCGATGCGGTGGGTCAGTCTGGATATAATATTTATCCCTCCCTGGATCAGTCGCATGGATAAACAGTGACGATGCAAACATGAAGGTCCATTTCATACCGCAGCTATAAGATAGCTACCATGATCTAGGCTTTGTTGCCATGCCCTTGTATTCCCATCCCTCACTGCACCGATAACTTTTCAGGGAGCAATGTCCAAGCCTGAGCTGAGCCTGGTCAACGAACTTGCTCGTTCACCAAGTCACGATCTCAACCTTGAGGAGGTCAAGCACCATACCATCCAGCGCAGTCTTTTACGTTCCATTCTCATTGTCGTGACCTGTACCACTGCAATGATGGTCAATGTATGTCCTCATCATGATCTTGTATTTTTTGGTCATTTCCTGCTCTTCATTATTGATTGCAGACTTCCAACTCCAGTTCTGTCTCCATCTCGCTCCCGACCATCGAAAAGGACTTAGATATGGACGAAGAACAACTGCAGTGGGTTGAATCTGCCTATTCGCTTAGTTCGGTACGTTCTCTCTTTTTTTTCGTAACCGTCTTTTTTCTTCCCGACTAACTTCCCACCTAGGCTTGCCTTCTCTTGTTCTTTGGTAGATTGGCTGATCTCTATGGTCGAAAAAAGGGGTTCATGTTCGGCACTCTCTGTATAGTCGCCTTTTCTCTTGGTTGTGGCTTTGCACAGAGCGGGTGCGCCTTCCATTTTTTCGGCCAGCTCCGTCCATTCAAAATGTCATCGCAGACTTACCCTCGCCGTCTTGCGCGCCTTCCAAGGCGTCGGTGCCGCCGCTACAATACCATCCGCAGTGAGTGATTTGTATACCCTGTAAACAGGAACATCAATTTGTCAGCTCGGTATCCTGGCGCATTCATTCCCTCCATCTAGAGCGCGCTCAATAGCATTCGCAACTTTTGCAGCTGGTGCTCCTGTCGGAGGCTCATTTGGCACGGTGATGGGCGGTGTCCTTGCAGAATTTTCCTCGTACGTCATAAACCGCTCGTGCGCAACGCTGTATTTTCAATGTCTTAATAGCACGCATTGGCGCTCTGTATTCTATATGACTGCAGGAATTTCTGCTCTCGCAGGAGTTGCCGGTATGATTGCATTCGACTCAGATGTTCCCTCGACAGATTTTGTCGACTGGATCGGTGCCTCGCTTATCACCGTCAGTTTAGTGTTGATTGTATTTGTACTTGGTCAAGGAGAACTCGCCTCGCAAGGCTGGAAAACTCCATGTGAGACTTTCCCTCTATCATATATCGCATCGTCGCTAAATTGCGCATCATACCTAGATATTATTGTGCTTCTCATCATCGGGATCATCATGGTTTCACTGTTCCTGCTTTGGGAACGACACTTGGAGCAAGTTCAAGATGATCCATCAAGAGCACCATCCGCATGGACACCACCACCACTGATGAGGCCCTCGATTTGGATACGAGCAAAGGGCCAGATGGCCGTGATCCTGGTCATCGCATTCCTAGATTGGAGTGCTTTCATGACTTGGTTCTTCTGGGTTCAGGTATGTCGACTTCCTGTTGTCCGCAGGGACGTGATGGCGCTCATTGTGCTCCGTTCCAGTTGTACTATCAGAACTACATGTTACTTACACCAATGCAAACTATGGTCCGGCTCATTCCAGCGCCCATTGTTGGCTGTTTGTGCAACATTTTCGTTGCAATGGTCGTTGCCAAATTGCCTTTGGTCGTCTTTGCAGGTACGGATCTGCGCGAGGAATGCATAACACGTGAGGCTGACTCGTCGTCCAGTCAGTGGCACGCTACTGACAGCATCTGCTGGGATCTTATTTGCACTGATTGACCCGTCCGCAACGTACTGGGCCTTTGGCTTCCCGTCCACGGTTCTCGTCGTGTTTGGCGCTGATTTTGTGTACGCCTCTGGTACACTTTTCATTGCCCAAAACGCGCTTCCACACGAGCAGAGCGTTGTCGGAGCGCTATTCCAGACTATGACACAAGTAAGTTCCTGTAAAGTAGTTAACATTGTCCTATTCTAAGGTCAATTTCTTCGGAATAGCTCGGCGTCGCATTCGGTCTCACTATATCCACCATTGTGTTCAACAGTGTGGTTAAAAAAAAGTCTGCTGACCTTGGCGTCACTGTCAATTCCGCTGGCACCAACGCGCCTCAGTCCGCACAGCTTGCAGGATATAAATCTGCGCAATGGACCTCTGCTTCATTTGCGCTTATGGGTGAGTACTCCGAATTCACCCCTGCGTTAAAAATACCTGGTGACCGACGATCTGTAATTGTGTAGCTGCGCTGCTTGCAGCGCTTTTCCTCCGCAGTGTAGGGATCGTTGGAAACAATAAAAGTGTCAAGCATGTCGTCGACTCTGACTCGCATCAGACCAGGACGGACAGCCTGTCAGATAACACCAAGATACCAGCCACATCCGCCTCAGGAGATATCATTATCTGACAAGGAAGACTTCATGCCATGACATAGCATCGCACGTAGAATGGATTCCCATATGGTTTGGTGTTCTTCGAGACTCGTTTCTTCTCCTTTGATTCTGATGTCATGAATAAGTTATGTCAGTCGAATGCTCGTTGGATCGCCGTTGTAGATATCTTAGATTGAAAAGATATAACTTCTGTTTCTGGATAAAGGCGTACAGTAGGATGTCGAATGTTTATGTGGGGAATCGACGGTAATGACATCAGGCATGGCATGAGACTATCTATAGCCAGCACCGCACGAGGCTTGGCCCACAACGTCGAACAGCCACGTTTCAATTTGGCATATGGGATGCGGAGCTTGAGTTTCACCCCGAGGTTGACGGCGCATTGCATGTTGCCTGTGTTTCGTAATCTGTCAATTTGTACGTCTTCGGAATGAAGTTTTTATCAAGTTGACTGACTAGATAATATGTCTTGCCAGTGACATCATCGAGCCTCTTCAGGCCTCAGGACGCATATCGCAATGCCTGCGTGTCATACGTAGTACGTCATCAGGTAGATGTTTGAGTGTCAAGTGGACCGTGCAAGGACCATGGATAGTATTTTCCGACTCCCGATGTGACTCGGGCTCGATGGGACCATATTAACTTCGACCGGAGCAGAGATGAATAAATTCACGCCCCTGGTCAAGAGCACGGTCGACCGATCCCGGTGAACAATAAACTTCAGAATGGTATCGGGCACCCTCAAATGAAAATTCGTAGGCCGGACCTTTTACATGAACACTACGCTTGCCAAATTGGGACGACCTTATTGTCAAGCCCCTACGCCCTGCCTATCGGAATGGTCGCTACTCACACGATATGATCCAATATGCATCCGCTATGCGAGCTTGCTTATTGTCTTCGTGTTAATGAACGTGACGGGTGCGCTTTGACTGCACATCTCAGTCTAACAATGGTATTTTAGTGACAATTAGGACAGAACCGACGGGATTTTGCAAATTCTCATCTTAGGTTAACTCCCGGTGGAAAGGTGTATATAAGAGTTCGGAGAGTGCGACATCCATCAGCTCAATCGATCTTTGGCTCGTACATCAGCAGTTTTTCCAGCTGTCATCTCTCAGATAGACCCTTTTACTACTCGTAAAATCACTGCTCCGTCATCTGCTCCACTCCACAAGCCGCAATGGACTCATTCTCAAACATCCTCGCTATTTTGTCTGCTTCAAATGCTGACAATGAGCGGAGTCCTGTATCGTCGACACCAGTCGATGAGGAGTACCAAACAAGCACCGGGGGTTGTTACTGCGTCATTGCATGAACGCGAGCAACATTTATGCACACCGCCCCATTTATATGGATGTAAGTAATTATGGCCACTTAATTCGCGGGACGATGGCTCACTGCCGTTCATTGCAGCTCCAGAACACTGCTTCATGATAGTTTGGACAGTGTGATAGTATCCTGTAGTGTTTAAAACTACGAGTTTCATGAGCGACACCACATCTCACTTCACATGACATATTAGAACACACTTCGTTCAGCATCTTTCGACCTTCATTACCCATTTTTGTTGTATTATTTCATTGGGTTCTTCGGAGCTGAGCATCTTGGGTACAGGTACAGGAGATATGTATATTTGATACTGTCGGATATTCTGGGTAGCGCATGTATAGTTATCTGTAGCACCTGGAGAGAAAGAACGATTTGTACCTGGTATTCCTATGGCCCGCTAGTCACCCCTTGACACAGTTTTCGTTCTGCTGTGCATTGCGGTCAGAAAATGGAACGTCACAGCGGCCGAGCGAGCGCACGAGGACTGAAATTATTCACTTTGTCTGGAGGCGGATGATTCTCCGTCGCTTGAGACACTTTTCGGACATGAAACTTGAAGGTCAGTTACTTAGTCAGAAACTCTTGGGGAAAATCGATCGTTTTCTCCGTATTCATTAAAGTTGAGTTTCTAGATTTGAAGTGTTCTAGTAGGACGCCGTGGAGGCCGAACGTCATGAGCATGAGTGACGCCACAGTAGGCACTGGGACACCCTTGGGGGATTGAAACAATCTTTACTCGCTAAAGTGTAGATGGGCCTGCCAATGGCGAACGGGCTCAAACGCTTGCGCTTCGGCCTTGTACTTGTAGCCTTTTTTATTTCAATCAGGCAACTCTTCTGGGCAATGTTGCTCCGCGAACTGCATACACCGATCAGAAGAGACAGCATATCCGTAGTACTGAACATTAGGCTGCCTTGGTGGACGGTCAAGTTTGAAGGGTTGTCGTGTCCTGGAAACCCCGGTCTGCTGCGAGGTCGTGATCTTAAAGCGGTTAAAAAGAACCTAAATGTTAGGAGAAGAGATATACTTGTAGGGTTTCAAGCGACGTAAAAGGAGTGGAAGACATATGTGATGCAAGGACGAGCTCTTGACCTGCTCCAAAGCGTGGTTCAAAGTGTAGATTGAAGTCCACATTATACACGTGGTTGGCATATCGCACAACCACAAACCACACATGAAGCTGTGGACATACGAAGCTGTGGACAATTGACGCCAGAGCCTCGCCAACCTCCACACAGCGCGCCAAACTGAGACAACAATAGAAAATTCATAACTTATAAGCGGCAACTATGCCATCCCACTTCTTAACAATTTCTCTTCATGCACATGCGATGCCTGCGGAAATGCAACCAGATCCATCCTGCAGTGTTACGTAGATAGAGAAACCGCGAGGAGTTCTCCCAAGCTTTGCGGTTGAAACGAGCGTATGCTCGAGAAGCATACGCTTGATTTAACCGCAAAGCTTCTGAGAGATACAATTTCTGAACCATCTGCGTTATTTATAGGCTTTAATATTCTTACGGAACACCATCCACCTGAGCACTCACAATACAAATACTTGATAGTACTTCTCATTTGACAGCTTTTCTCGAAACCTTGACGAAATTGGCAGGAATGCAACGAAAACCAATAGACGGAGCTGTCATATGGATAGCTTACCGTTTGAATATCGTGCCCAAGGTATTTGAGACAAGGAGTCTCGTTACAGATAGTGGTGTTCTGGATAAACGAGGTAATGAGTGCTCAACGTGACGTGGATAGATCGAAACCAACTTTTCTTCTGGATCAAGGTACCAAGAGCATCAACGCCAGCCCTGTCGCCAGCGGACACGCCATCGACTTCTTATGATGAGACAAGGTCTGTCAGTAAACTTTTGAATCCTGCTACGTTTGTTGCATATCCTAATAGAACGATTAATATGTAACAGAGACCGTCGAACGAGTGAACCTCATGTCCACCTGGACACATGAGACAGGAAGACAAGAGGTTTGCCTATGCGCCCGTCCAACGAGGTTGTGAATGTCTATGCGGTTCTAGATGTTCGTGAGCACATAAAAAGGAAAGGTTCAGTTCTCGACCGACCTAGGTCGAGTAGCCTCGAGTGGTAGTACTCTGGTGTTAAGTATTAAACTAAGAGCTGAGTCTGCTGACACAGTCACATCAGTCGGTTTAAATTTTCCAGGAAATCCGCCGAGTGAATGGTGTAAATAAAATCTTGAAGAGACCAATCTTTCACGGTCTGCATATGATCTACACGGGCAGCTCACCGACAAGCAAGAATGACGTCTGGTGGGCGGCCTGAGCTTGTGAAAACCCCGATATTTCCCACGGTCCTCCGTCTATCACCGACGGTAAGTCGTCCAGCACAACATCTCACCTTTTCACCTTCACCATGATGTCCGCTCGCGTTGGGCTTGGTTCTGCTACGAGGAGAGTAGCGTTCGCTCCAGTAATTGGTAAGTGCGCATCACAATTCTGGGAAATGATGTAATTACATGTTTGATACAGGGAGAAACCAAATTGCTTTGCGCACCGTAATTCCCAAGCGGTAAGAATGATTTTCGTGATTTTGAAACGCTCGTTTCTGAATGCACTTTAGAGGCGTTCAGATACAGTCCCTGCCCCCATCGGCTTCGCAAGAAATCCTGAATGTCCAGCGTCTTAAACGCCCATCCAGCCCCCATTTCACCATCTACCAACCTCAGCTGACATGGCTTAGCTCGATTGCAAACCGTGCAACTGGAGGTGCACTCAGTGCGCGTATGTTCCGTTTCCTTACAAGTTATTGGAATATGGTGTGACTGATGTCATTTAGTCCTATACGGCTTTTCGTTGGCATACCTCGTAGCTCCAGGCACTTTCGACAGCGCGCACATCATCGAGTTTGTTGCTGGGCTGCCAGACTACGTGAAGTACACCGGCAAGATTATCCTGGCTGCACCTTTCACTTTCCACTTCTGGAACGGTCTGCGACACTTGAGCTGGGACATGGGTAAATGTATGTCGCCTATGCCTTGCTTTATTGATGACTGCTCACGTGTCTCTTGAAGTTTTGTCTCTCAAGGGAGCATACAGGGCTGGGTATGCTGTTTTAGGGGCCACTGCGGTATCTACGGTCGCTTTGGTTTTGTTGTAAAAGTATGCAGGCCACTCAAATTCATGTATTCGCCGTGTGCATTAAATCGCGTTCTAAGGCACTCAGTTCCACTTCACAGCACCATACTCACGTTCATTAACCTCGTGCTTGTCCTGTTCAGCTAGTGGCGAGTCACTTGATCTTCGAGGTTCACATGTCAAACCCAAGAAGGCAGCCTAAGAATCTTGAGAATATATGAATTCAGTGTTGAAAGTTATGCAATGCGTTGGTAGATTGCCAAGCATGTTGTGGATTCAAGTTTGCCAAAACGTCCCATGAAAGTATGAACCTGTTATCTGAGAGCACTTGAATGACATGCGTGATCGCAGGTGAGAATCTCAGCTTCAACGCTACGCCATTTTGACGTTACTAACAGGTCCAAAATTAAGCCTCTCATGAGATTCGAGGTGTCTGCTTCCAGGATTGCCACCCATATAGCTCCCATCGTGATGGCAAGATAACGCTGTCGGACCGTTTGTCTTATCGGAAACCATTAAAAGCCAGTAGCTTTGACAATGTTCATCTCTTTTCGACCCGGCATATCTCATCAAAGTGATTAACTCATGGCAACTGCAGCGAACTCTGTACCTCACCCAACTTTGGTTTCGGTATGCAACTGCGTCCTGTTCATCCTGCGAAAGTTGACAAATTGGGCACTGCCCCTTCTAGGCCGATCCTTTCGTGTAGGTGTTTGTGTTGAGATGTTCGTGTGTCTTGAGCGCTTATGAGGACGATTAATTGCAAGTCCTGCAAAAGAGCAGAAGGTGTGTTCCCCGTTTCCCTGTAATTAGCCTATTTGCTAACATTGTTTTCAGGGCTTGCACAACCGCTGGCAGTGAGTTTGTAATCTTTTCCGTTCCGCAATCGGTCCCATGACCGTGTCCGCAGTCCCGACATCCCTGCTGTTGCTACAGTGAAACCTGGACAGGTGTGTCACGATATCCCTGAATATTACACGCCTGTCTCACGTTCGATTTTGCACAGGTGTTCAATATCGAATGTGTCGACTGGACAGGAGCACAGATCGGCAACAACGACAGTACGTATTTGGGTTTTCGTCATCACAGAGTTTGGTTTTGATACAACTATTTTCGTTAGCGAGTGATGATATCAGAGATATAGACTTGACCAGTATTCATAATTTGTCGGGCCCAATCGCCGTGGAGGGTGCCGAGCCTGGAGACTGTCTCGTAGTTGATATTCTTGATGGTACGCCGCACCTGATCGCTCTTCTATGTCCCATTATATTTGTTCGTAGTCAGGCCGTTTGACAAAATGCCCTGGGGCTACACCGTAAGGACTCTCGCATAAAAGACAACTCAGCAAAGCGCTTAAAGTGCAACAGGGTATCTTCGAACTCGAGAATGGTGGTGGATTGTTTGGTGAGCCAAAAGACAATATGTTTGGCATCTTCTTAATCAGCATTTGACACAGCTCGCGAAGTTCCAGAGCAGAGCTGCAAAGGCTATCTGGGATTTCAAAGGTTTGCATCTCTCTACGATACTTGCGCAGCCTAATGACATCTCTCCCCAGGCGTGTACGCCACTTCAAGACACATCCCTGGTGTGCGCTTCGCTGGCGTGTCGCATCCTGGTTTGATTGGCACAGCACCTTCCGCTGAGCTGCTTGCAACCTGGAACAAGCGTGAGGGCGCCCTCATTGAAGCTCACGCCACTGCGGTTCCTCCTGTCGCCTACGGTCCATTGGTTACAGGTGCATACGTGGGTCAAGAGCTTCCTGATGATGTAAGGGATAAAATCTACCGCGAAGGTGCGCGAACGATTCCAGGAAGAGAGCATGGCGGCAACTGTGATGTAAGCCTTCCCTCAATAAGCCTTGATTGCCTCTGTCTCAATCGCAGTAACCGTAGATTAAAAACTTGTCAAGGTAAAGGAAGCTCCCTGCGGGTTCCGTTCTTACTCACATACTTGGGATCAAGGGGCTCACGTTGCTACTTCCCTGTTTTCGTGAAGGGTGCAAACTTGTCTGTTGGTGACCTCCACTTCTCTCAAGGAGATGTAAGTACTTGAATTACGCAGTCACGCTCGCGCTAACATTCGAATAGGGCGAGGTAAGCTAGAAGCTATCAATGCGTGGATTATCTGAATGAATGCTACTTAGCTGTCCTTCTGTGGTGCCATCGAAATGGTGTGGATCCTCCATAGTCTCGTCCTGCTCTCACTAATATGGCTTCCAGGCTGGCATCATCACCTTCAGCACTAGCATCATCAAGGGTGGTATTGAGAAGTTTGCTTTGAAACAACCCATCTTCTTGGTAGGTACTGGTCTCGGCTAGATAATTCGACCGGTGCTGACTGTCAAAGCCCTCTCCTATCGATCCGCTATACTCTGCAAAAGTAAGTGCACGGCACATCGTCTGTTTTGGTTGCTAATCCATTTTGCTAGTTGGTCTTCGAGGGAATCAGTGTAGACTACCGTATGCATGAGCACATTCAATACCACACCATCCATGATTGACCATAATATTTGACAGACGGTGATGGTACACAGTACAACATGGATGCGTGAGTCTCCTTAACGTTGATACACTGATGCATAGCTCATTGGTCTCTGAATAGCACGGTGGCATACAAGCAAGCTGCTCTGAACGCCATCGCTTATCTTATGAAGATTGGTTACAGTAAGTCCCTTGTCGTAAACCGAAACCTTTACTGATCGTCGAGCGTGACCGCAGCCCGTGAGCAAGCATGTAAGTGTGCGTTCTGTGAGAAGAAGAAAGCCGCTTATTTTCGTTCAGACCTTTTGTTGTCCGCTGCGCCAGTGGAAAGCCATGTCGGTGCAGTTGTGGTAAGTCAGGTTCAATCTTGGTTTCTCAAAGATGTCATTGAAGTTGCATCTCAGGACTCTCCAAATGCCTGTGTGACTCTTGCTCTTCCCTTGGGGATATTTGAACATGTGAGTTCGTAACAATATATGCCGTCGATTCGACTAAATTATGAGTTACAGGATATTTTACCCAAGGAGGAAGGTTTGAAGAAACTAGATTTCGGTCAATGTGCTGTGCGCAGCGATGGCGTGCTGTAAAAGATGGCCAAGACCGCAGGCCCTACATGATCCAGACAATGCGATGTGTTACATTAGTATTGTACATGCGCATACATTTTGTACAGTACTTTATGGAGAATTTCTTACCCTGGAATCAATTCCGCCCCGAGAAAACAACGTAAACAAAATGAATTTGGGAAGTATGCCATCCACCTGCATGCTCTCTTCTGAGACAGTCGCCGCAAACAGGCAGGTACTACTCTTCTGTGAAACTGAGATCGTGAGGAGCAGTCACATACCACACCGCTTTCAACACCTCTGAACCGGGCTTTACATTACTGCAAACCCACTCGAAAAGTCCTTCATTTTTTCCTGCATGGTCCCCAGTGGTTGACCACCTCGCATAACACCCATCTCGTACCCGCACCGTGCCCGAAGCGATGTCAGCCAGGCCTTCGGGCTCTTGCAATGAGACTGTAATGCGAGGGTCTGCAGGGATTGGCAGCGATGTACGAACGATGACATTGCTGACGGGGTCTTGGTGCGTGTTTGTGATGGTAGTCGTGATCGTATGCGCTGTAACAGTCCTGTCACCGACTACGGCTAAGCGAAGTAGTGAGTCGACGGTGCGGTTGAACTGCGTGGTCACTCCGGGGTCGACACCAAGAGAGCACTGGATGGTTTGTGGCTGGTTGGCGCTCTGGTTCGATGGGCAAGGTCATAGGTTGCGGAAACTCATTATAGGAAATGACGTACCGTGATGTTGCAGTCAGAAACGTGTCTTCCATCTAGGTAAATGTGAACGATGCCCGGAGTAAGTACATAGTTGCTGGTATTGGGGATCTCGCACTACATTGATAGATGTGAGGCATGCACGATTGACATGGACGAAACGCCACCCACAGTAAAAAAGACGCGGGTATCAACGCTTGGTACTGCTACTCTTGTAAATGACGCTGTCAGTGGGATGGTTGCAATGAGGACGTGATGGATGTCGAACCCCTGGCGACTTGGAATGAACACTTTCGCAGTCGCTGAGTGAGTAACGTCTTTGTCGAGCTATGAATAGATCATCATCTGATTTGCTAGTAACAGGGAACAGCCATGACCCACCTCTGCCAACATTGCGCGTTCCCCATGTTGGTGCTGTGGCGAGGATGGTTGCGCCGGAGTGGACGAAGAAGCAAACGTTTGAGACTGATGCAAGTTTGGCGCTGGTCGATTGAAGCCAAGGGTGTTCTCCGTAGTGGCACTTCTGCTAAAACTCGACACACTTGAGTTTCGTGTGGATGAATACGGGGGAGGTAGTGTAATTGTTGGGGACGACGCCTGTGGTTGCGCTGAAAGGTGAAATCCTGAAGCTCCAAACATTCCTTGACCTGCATCTGACTGTGCTGGAGTGGATCCAAAGAGACCTTGAGTTGTGGTGGTGGGTTGTCTCTGGAAAGCTCCGAACAGGTTGCTTGATGCAGGTCCCTGTGCAGCCCCGGTGGAGCCTTGGCTGGGGTCTGCTTGGTGAGCAGCACTCTGAGCACTTCCAAATAGGCTTTGCCCAGCCTGCTGTGATGAGGACAGAATATTTCCAAAAGGTGAAGCATATCCTGGTGCATTCCAGATTGGAGCATGCCAGACTGGCGTAAGTTGCGTGGGCCGGGATGCCTGTTGATGGTACGAGTCAGGCTGCGACACCAACCCTCGTTGCCTTATCTCCAGCTTCTTTGGCTTAGGCAGTCCTACCAAAGGAAGATCGGGCTCGGCTGTTGTCACCGAAAGCTCCACATTCTCCCAATTCTCCCTTGTAAACTGAGATATTTGGCATCGATAAGTGAGAGAAACTGATGAAGAGGGGACACTATCAATGGTCGTGACATGTAGTTCGTAGACTGGTTTCCAGCCGTCAGCCAAAAAAACTCCTGGTGAGGATTCAGTGGGAAGAAAATGCAGCAGCTTGACGGTAAGATAACTTACTGTACTTCAGTTCCAGCTCAGCGGCCGTAGCAGTGCGGCCAGAAACGGGTGCAAGGACAACAGTAACTGTCGTCCTCAAGCCGAAGTTTTCGTCCTGAAGTCGCCAGTTTTCTTTCTCTATCTCCTTCTGAACGTCCTTGATCTGCTGGTCAAGTACCGCAATGACTTCGGATTGATTCTTGCCAATCTCCACGAATTCATCGAAGAACGTAACTAGCTGTGCAGGTTCCGCACTGGGAGCGTCTCCCTTTGCAAGGGCGTTCATGTACGTCGACAGGAAGGCGAAACTTTGTTGCCTTAGTCGACGCTCGTCCTCTAAGCGTGTGCACTTGGCCGTCAGATCACAAAGGACATCACTGACAATAGGCTGGTTGCGAGAAGTATTGAATATGTTGCCAAAGACAGGCGAGGTGTGGTAGTAATCCATGATCAGCACATCGTCTGAACCAGTTGTCACAGACACCCGGAGTCCACCAGGATACAGGGCGGGAAGCATCGAAATCTTGATGGCCTGCGACTCATTCTGTTAGGTAGTAGTGGTAAGTGTCGTAGAAACTGCTTAGGCCAATCATTATGCACATACTGGAGACTGCAGCTGGGTAAAGTCGAGGGGGAAAACGCGAGTGACCTCAGCTGCGTGTGAGCTGAAGATCTTCACGGACTTTATGGGAAAGTCAGTTGCAGAGAGAGTTGTTACATTCATCCTGAGTGAGAGCGCAGAGCAGAAAAGGTATGGTACATATGCAACTGTTATAAGTCTGGAGCAGGTTTTGAGTCAGGTAACCCAGTACCCTAGCAGTGCCTTTCGTGGCGGAACCGTTGCGGCCCAGGGGCATTTTAGGTAACTAAACATCACCACTGGGCGTCTGTCTAACGCGTCTATCTGAGTTAGCACAGATAGGATATAAAATTCAGGTAGTTAACGTGATTGGTACACTGATATAATATTCGCGATTCGAAGGAAAAATAAGTAAAGTTAACTGAGGTCCTCGAGCGCTTCGAGACGTGTTATTTGTCTACACATAATCCATGAGCAAGGTCTTTAGATACGAAAAAATAGCCCACCTATCACGAACTGCCTCTTGCCATCTCTGCAATTTTGCAGTCTCGTTCAGCTGAAACCCATATATCCTTGGACGATATCTTTCCGCTTTCAACGCCACACCCACAGTGCTGCCTGTCTCTCCAACACCCTCTGAAATTTCAGGTTCTTCCTTCACTCTCCTACTTTTTCTGCTGGAATCATTTTCAAGACCGCGGGAGCTTGGAGTAGGATCAACAGGACCGGCTTTCGGTGGAAGAAGACTTGGGTATACAAGAAACAATAGGTGAGGGAACGACGTGCCAAAGTAAGCGCCATCAATGGAGCCATGGCGCGACGACTTTGGAGAATAGACGTCCTCGCATCGGCCGCAGTATAATTTAACTGATTTTTCGTAGGGTGTATCACTGAGGCCCACTGGAAGTAGTGGTTGAGATTGACAGAGGACTCGCGGGCATCGACCAAAATCCACTCGCTTGAATTTCTCAAGCTGAGAAGGTGTGAGGAAAGCTCAGCGGTAAGAGCAGGCAGACGTTACCATTTTAGCAAGTCCGCGGGCGGTAACAATCCATCGAGCATGGATCAGACCATACAACAACCGGGCCTGGACATCGAGTGCACCACGTAGCTCGTCTTGTATGTCGTCGTCTGAGAACCGATGATTTTCAGTCACTGGCCTATCAAGGTGGCTTTCAAAATTTACCGAGATTATCCGTGATTAAATCGAGTGCTTGGGCATAGTTTGAAACTTCGTTGTTGAGGCCAGTGAGATTGAATCTATCTAGGATATAGTCCTCTTCGACTTCACAGAAATATTCGTTGCCCTTGGATGAAAGGAACCACGAGATCCACTTCGACTAGGTTTAGAATACATCATGTCCATCGTGACTGCTTTCTCACCGAACTGGGAACCGATGAACCAGCACAGCTTCAGTTGGGCGGGTGGTGGCTAGGAAATGCAAGGACCCACTTAGAGTATTCAGAATCCGAGCCTGTGGAAATGTCGTCCACTGCGCGTCCAAGCATTGTATCAGCTATGCAGCCAAAAAAATTCCTTCGGAAACTGACTTGCAATGCAGTAGATGTTGGTGAAACCGTGAATACGATTCGAATTTGTAAGACCTGTGCAGCATCCACATAAGGAAGACAATTCTCACATCACTAACTTGACCTTACAACCTCTGCCTCTCATGCTGGCAGTCTCCAGATAGGCTTTCAATGGACTCAACTTGAAACCTCGCAAAACAGAACGACCTTCCAGAAAAATTCGCAGCTCATGCCAAAGGACGTCGTGATCAACATGCCCACAGACATGCGAAGCCAAGGAGGCGATTTCTCGAAATTCGACCTTGACTACGTTCCACCAAAGCCGGGGGGAATCACATTACTCACCGTGAATATCCCTACTTCAACCCGCATCCAAAATGAACAGCGCCCTCCTCCGAGGTGGAAAACTCCAGAATTTGTCTTCTACTACGTGGTCGCTTTGTTCGTGATCCCTCTCATGGTATGGGTACCTATCTACCTGAGTTCACGTATGAGCATTTTTTACACAAGGTTATCACTAATTCTAATGAACGTCGATAGCTTCACATCCGAATTACCCATATTATTATCACAGATTGTCACCAGGCTGGATGTTTGGACGCGAAGTTGTGAGTGTCACAATATTTTTCCTGACCGTTTCAGCCTCTTTGTCCATAACTTCAGGAATCACAAAATAATTCTTTGACCTTAATGCTTCCTCACAGGATAACAGTGATACCCAGTATCGATCATTTCGCAACAACATACCTTCGCTTTCATTCCTTGTTCTGATTTTCGTCGCTCTCAAGTATATATATACACGGTCTGCATTGCGCTCTGCCTCGAGTATACCCTCAGATCAGCTTTACTTGATTCCGTTTTTCCTCGTGTTTTCTGCTCTGTACCTTGCTGGCCTCCACGGGACGAGCATTTTCAAGATTATATCCATCCTGACGGCTAATTATTGGATTGCTAAGACATTCAGAGGATCGCGCATGGGACCGCCGCTAACCTGGATCTTTAACGGTTCAATGTTATTCGCAAACGAGATATATGGCGGATATCGGTATGCTACTTTGCATCCTTCATTAGAAGTTTTGGTGCGTCGTTGTAGCGTCTCTTATCAACAGCTCCCGACTTTTCACCCAGGACACTTTCCAAGGCATTTATCCTCGTTGGCACATAAGCTTCAATATCACTATGCTGAGATTGGTGTCATTCAATATGGATTACTATTGGGCCTACAATTCTCGCGGAGGAGAAGTGAGCAACTCGGCTCCGTCTCCGTCTCTATACTCATGCAGCTCGAAGAGCTTAAGCTCTGCTTCCACTGAAAAGCAGAGAGCCAACACACCACTCCCTTTAGAAGATTATACATACCGGAACTACATCGCTTATGTCCTCTATCCTCCGCTCTACATCGCTGGCCCTATTCTGACATTCAATAATTTCATGTGGCAGGTACACGACGATTCTCTTCTGCTCCATTTACTTTCATTTACCTGATTTATGCAGTTGCGCCACCCTATAGATATTCCAATACACGTCCAAAGTCGCTACTTGGTTCGTTTCCTTATTAGTCTCCTGACCATGGAGTCCATACTACATTATATGTATGTCGTGGCCATCAAAGATGCCAAGGCTTGGCAAGGCTATACACCACTGGAGCTGAGTATGATTGGGTTTTGGAATCTCATCATTGTTTGGTTAAAAGTAAGTTTTTTTTGGGTGGTGTCTGGTTTTCGACTGATTATTCGAGTAGCTCCTTTTGCCATGGCGATTTTTCCGTCTCTGGTCTTTGGCAGGCGGCATCGATCCACCTGAAAACATGGTACGGTGCATGGTGAATAACTACTCTACTCTCGGATTTTGGCGAAGTTGGCATCGGTCTTACAACCTTTGGATTGTCCGGTTCGTTTGTTGCCTTAATCTGCAGGCTCATGACTCACTGGCATACAGATACATCTACATCCCGCTCGGGGGAACGAAGAACGTTGCATTAACAACCGCGCTTGTTTTCTCATTTGTCGCACTCTGGCATGACCTGTCTTTCCGATTGCTTGCGTGGGGATGGCTTGTTAGTTTTTTCATTCTGCCTGAGCTTCTTGCACGTTATCTTCTCCCTCAAACAAAGGTTGGTTGACACTATCTTCGCGGCGTTCTCACCTTCTATGATTTACTTACTTCTTGGCGTAATCAGTATGGGCGATTTTCATGGTATCGCCATGTCTGCGCAATTGGAGGCGGTCTAAACTGCGTGACGATGGTTTCCGCAAACCTTGTTGGATTCGTCGTCGGGATGGACGGGATGATGCACATGGCCAGCCAGATAGTGGGAACGTGGCAAGGTAGGTCGCCTTCTGTTCCCCGCACCACGTCATAACGGACTATCTGACACTCCATTAGGATTCCGTTTTTTGATCGGAGCGAGCTGCACTATCTTCGTGGGAGTACAGTTTATGTTTGAGTACCGGTACGTTATTTCGCGCGAACGGTTCTGCTTTGCGATCGTCGCTCAGACTTGATTCTCAGAGAAGAAGAGATGCGGAGAGGTGTTTACCGACGGTGTTAATGATCTACTTATGGAATCACAGATTGCATTCCTATAGTGTCCGACGTCTTCTTCCCTGCGCCTATAGGAAACGAAAATGCCAAGCGTCGTCATTCCGAAGTGTCATTCACAGGCTCCGTCCGCTAGGGTCAAGTGGAAGCCCGTTATAGCCGACGATGAGAAACATTAAGAGCACGCGAACAGAACGGGACACGCTCTGTATTGTGAACGACGACGACGAGGCAATGTACAAAGCTGGACTAAAACACAAGTCTACTGCAGTATAATGTAGATGAATGCAGATGCAAGCCCCAGCTCCCATCAAGTCGTCTGATGAACAAGGGGGTTCGAAAGGTTTCGAATGCACCAATGCATCGGCGCGTCATGTCTTTTGTTTTAGAGTTGACCAATGGTCTGCCTGAAGTATTGTCAGTCCCTAGGCTGTGAGTTCTCATGACACAACGTTGGTCCTGAGCGGAGTGCGCCGGCCCGTGCAGGCCTGCGCTGGCATGCGGAAATCGCTGACACTTAGTCAAGCACAATCAGGCAGCTCGAACCTGGAGATGTGGTAATTTTAATATTTAATAGGCTTGCAACTAGCATGAAAGCACATCGACGACTGTTAACGATAGTGAGAATGTCAAACGTGGTGATGCCAAGTTGTCAATAAAATAGCAATGCAATGAGATACAGAAAGACACGACAACCGAAATGAGCGACTTAGTAAAGAGTGACGAAAATTAAAAGAAAGGAATGAGCAATATACGTGGATACACTACGGTGGGGAGGGAGCACTTGTTATGCTCGCAAACGGAAATTACTCGGCCGTGGAGTGTTCATTTCTGCTTCCATGTCTAATGAACGCTGCTTGGCTCTCTCGCGGAGAAGGCCCCATTTAACCCACCAGTCATCGGCCTCGTCTTCAGCATCATATCCAAAAAGTTCTTTGAGCTGTTCCCACTGCTCAGCAGCTTCTCCGCCACCAAAAACGCTTTCCCCTTGAGCAGCCTTGGCACGCATGTCTTGATCGCGTTGCTCCTGCTTAGGACCTGCCGGCATCATTTGGAAGTACAGATTAGATTGCTCGGAATGCACGACACTGGCGCAGCGATCTTCCCGAAGATCTTGGAAAGCATGTAAAAGCGTCGGTATTTGGTCCTTGTCTCGGAGATGGGAGAAAAGCTTTGCGAGCACTGCGGCATCTTCTACAGCCATTGCACCACCCTGCAACGATCCTGCCTGAACGAAGCGTTAGCGCAATGCGTCGTTCCATGGTCAAAGTGGTAGCATACTGGAAGTGGATGCGCAGCTTCCCCTATGATTACCAGACGACCGTGTTCATCAACCCAGTCCTCTATTGGTGAAACCATCTTGACCTGTACGCGTGTGGGTGTGGCGACTAATTTGGTCATCTTTAGGAGTCTGAGCCTCTTGATCAGTCGTAACAAACAAACTTCGTTGGACCAGCCGTACCTGGGTTCGCACGGTCCGAGTTGCCGCTGCATCTCGTTTAAATCAATGCCTCCCCCCCAACAATCACCATCGGATATCCCCTTTTGCCTGGGAGGCACCCATAACTGTAGTGCGAACTCGTCTTTACCTCCCTACTCAGTAGTATTAGATTAAGTATAGCACATTACGAATGTTAGCATACCACACGGAATCCCAAAGCCGAGCGATTATTGCCCAGCCAAACAAACATACTCTCCTAAAGATCACATTGGAGCCAGTTGTGATCACCTAAGTATGTGACTTACAATGGATTGCGTGAAGAAGGGTGCCAAGTCAGGATCGGCTCTCATAAGCGCTCCGGGGATCGTGGTACTGGAGCAGTGGCGCGTGAGTTTCATTAACAAAGTCCGGGGCAATGCTCACTTGTAGAATAGACAGTGATATGGTGCTCCGCCATGAATATCCTCACCGACAATTGCTTGTTGCACTAAACTCGAACGACCATCGGCGCCAACAATCACGTCGGCCAGTAGTTTTTCCCCAGTGGTCAATGTCACGTGGGGGCCATCACTACTTACGGAGGCGACCGTAACACCTGCCCTCACTTCAGCGCCCGCTGTGATAGCGGCCTCGTACAAAACTCGCCGGAGACCGTCGTGCTGTATGAATATATCAGCAGAAATCAGTGTGAGGCGAGAGCAGAAGATCATACATACATGCAGGAAGAGGTATTCTCCTCTAGTTTCTCGCAGAACCTCTTCTTCCCACCTGTGGGTGCCAATAAACTCGCCGGTTTCGTCTGTATATGCAGTCAGTTGTAGATTGGACGTGAGGTGTCGATGTACACGAACAAATATCAACCTCTACAACTGCTGATGTTATGGATACTCGTCGAAGAGCGCGCTCGAGTCCCCAATGAAAGAGAATTTTCGAGACGTTTGGAGGCAACCCAATGCCTCCATGCGACATCTGTCCCAGTGGCAAATTGAGAATGTGACAACATAGCTGATTGCGGATACCGACTGTTGAAATGTCTGCATCGGAGTATCGTTCGAGCACAACCACATGATGGCCGACTCGTCTCAGTGCTATTGCACATGCAAGTCCTGCAATTCCTCCACCAACAACAAGAAACTTTATGGAAAGCTTTGCCTGGCGAGGTTGAGTTAATAGATTTGCCTGGCGACAAATGTGATATAACTTACCTTGTCATACATTTAGAGCCAACCAAGGTAAAATAAAGTCAACGGAAAAGTGAGGGCTACTCGGGAACCGTCAGGGTAATGCATGAGCATAAATATATGATTTCAAAGGAACTATTTGCATCAGTGCCAAAAAAAGAAAAGCAGGAGAAGAGCTACCGAAGTGCCTATTTTGCAGGTTTCCTGGACACGTGAACGGCGACTTGCACGGAACTCCATGATAGGGTGGAAATTTTGGTTTGATACATGCTCAGCAAACCTTCGTGGGTCCCTTTGGTAACTTCGATCCCAGTGGGGTTGTCATGAGATGCCGGCATCGAGCGCTGAGCTGATGCCCTTGCAATCGGGGGTCATGAGGCTCTCATGTGAGGGATTGTGCGCTTTAAGGATCAATGAAAAAAAGAACTTACTGTGCAATACTTAGTGTTATGGTTCACCATGTGGTAGAGTGTGGTAGCTAGGTAATTGGTGCTTAATATTACCCATTATGCGTGATTACTTAATCGATACAACTCCAGGACAGTAGTACTAGTGCGCAGGTTTGGCCCAAGTGTTGCATTGACAATCTGAAGCCCCCAAGATCTCTGTCCAGGGACGGCGTGACATCAAGGAACTATAACTCCTTGGTATACCCGAGGTGTCCGACGGTTTTTCCATGCGATGATCGTACTTCCTTCCGTCTACATACTTCTACTCTGCCAAAAGTTGCTGCCAACCATCAATTTGGTAGGCACCACAGCGCCTAATATACAGGCTATATGCTTAGCTAACTCCAACTAATAACTTATACTAATCGCTAGGCTAGGATTTGTTTCAAATCAAGGGCCACGATGAGGCTGGCCACCCTGCTCGTAGCCTATCTACCAGCGGAGCAGATTACATCCGCGCTCATGGCGCTCACTGAGGAGTCAATATTTGGAGGCTAGCCACTCGAGAACGAGAAAGAGAAAAACTTACCAGCCCAAGACCAGTTCTAGTAGCAGGACAGCAACACCGAATTTATAACGGACACCGAGGAACCCATCGGGTTCCCAGACCAATGGTTCACGCAGCCAATAGTCCACTTTTCCAAGTCCTCGGACATTTCCAGCAGCGGCACTGGATCAATACCCCTCATTATACCCCAGGCTCCCGAGAATCTGACGCCGGGCTCGAGGTCTTGCAACTAGAGAAGTTTGAGGCGTCCATCTGAGAGCGTGGTTGTTGAACTTCAATTCATTTTTGAATGAATCTTATTGATGGCCGCATTGACGGTCATGCAAGCTCAGATGTAAGTACCATTGATCCAATGGTGCCTCAAGGGAAATAAATATTAATGCTGACTAGCTAGAGTACCGATAGCAAATTGTCAGGCAATAAGATTAATTAAACTGGTCACGATGGAAGATTATAGGGCCGAGGACGAGAGAGTAATGCTGATCACAAGTCCAAATTGCCCTCAATCAACCTCTGCAGCTGCAGTAGCCTAGAGCATGATTTGACTTGATTCACTTGAGGCTACTATCATTACTCAATCATGCGGGGTCTAACACGATTGTGCACTGCTAATGATATGGTTCTAATTAGACCGTGTCTAGCCACCCTGGATTTGCGCCTTTACTTGTACTCCATTTGGATAGGCTATCTCCTGCACTGCTTCTGGTCTGGAATTCGAAGACTTCTGCCTTTAGCACCGAACTGAGCTTCCTCATTGGTGGGCTGTCACCAGAAACGGCATGTTCTCTAGGCTCCACCTATCCCAAAACGAGCAGTGTGGCTGGCTAGTGTCTTCACGTCCACATGCAATCGCTTCTGTCCGCGTCAAACGTTTTGTAGAGAAAGGTGATACCACATCTGACAGCAATTTACTCGCTGTTGAACTTCACTTACAGGATGGTGGGCCCCAAATAATATGCACACGAGTTGTGAGGACTATCACTTACACGCGGCGTCCGCTAGGAGACTGACTCATCAAATAAAATTCTTAAGACGACTCAGGTCAGTGTCAAAGGTGAGACCGTGTAAGCATTAGGTCCGTACCAATCATACTACTTCAACGCCGTAACACCAATGTAATGCCCTCAATTTGCGCAGTTCAGGGTGTAGCAACACTGACGCTACGGGATATTTGCTTGGACAGATAGCCCCTGAGGGTAAAGATCTGTCACAGCGTGGGCACTTGCTTGGGCTGCCTTCCTCGTTGTCAAGAAGTCACATTGTCTCCCACACTCTGTATTTTCTATCTGCTCAAGTCAAGGAGTTCAAGTAGACGCCTCTTCAATGAAGTGAGAAATGCCAAGGGCTCATCGGTAAGTATCTCACCTTCGCACCTACCTTGAAGCTTTGATCTGCTTGGCCACCCCTCCCAATTTAGAGTCCAGATGAGATGTCGGGTGCGTGATTGGACCGACAGTTTGATCTATCACACCTAATATATATCCGAATGGGGTGGGCGATCCTGATCCGACGCATAAATGTAGCCAAACCGATGCAGACCGATGCGCACTTCAAACGTGCGCGTCGATCCTTTCCGCCTCACCCAGTTCGGATCCCTTTGCTCAAGTTCTTGTCCCATAAACAGAATGAGGTCACCAATTGTGGCAGGGTTTTCTTCCAAGCCTAGTTTTCCACACGTCTGCTCGCGACCGCGAGGTTGTGTTACTTCAGAATTCATTTAGCAAGGGGTAATTACCACACATCGAAGCTATTCGCGGAACTGTGTTGTACAGTATGTAACTCTAATGAGCGGCGATTGAAGGGATTTGGGGGCACTGATTTTCATTTCTGCAACTGTGCGTGAGTGATAAATTTGGCATATTTTTTTTCTATGTCGAGCTCACCTTCAATTGCCGTCATGTTCAGGACTCCAGTATGGTTGACATCTCATTTTACTATCTTGCCCGGCACCGTGCATTGCTTCCATTCTCTGCGGTCGGAGATGGCCGTCCATTCTATATCAACATATCGTCAGGGGTGTAATCTAGGTTGTCCAATCAGAAAGAGTAAAAAACTGTCAAATGTAAGCTAAGTCAGGCTAAGTCTCGCTTGTTTTGAGGGTGTGAGCCTTACGTTGGTGATCACCGATCATATAATAGACGGGTACTACTGTAGATGCTGACCCTGGAATATTAGTCTAGAGCGCCGAGTCGCTCGTCATGTCAATGCACACTGCCAGAGATTTCTACTTTCCGTAGATTGAAGCCCAATTCATTCCTATTGGTTGTCAAGGGTTTTTCCAAGCTGCGCAGTGCATCGTGACACCTGCCTAGTTCAATCGCTCTCAGAGTCAGGGGCAGGTGAACACTGAGTTTCCAGTGGCAACATGCCTAGAAATGGGCCATCAGTTGGACTTTGACCTCAGGCAAAGACATTAATACCTTGTAATGCGTTTCCAGCTGCGCATTGAAATTTTCATAACCATCTTCTTTGATGATAAGATGTCGATTATGCGGATTCCACTGGTAATGTACATCTCACCCATCGGATATGAATCAGACTGATCTCCAAGCAGTTGAGCTTGCGCCTGTACTACTACTAGTAACAAGGTGCATGGTAAAGTTGCTCAAATCTGTTGAAAATCCCTCGAACAGCGATTTGGTCCAGGAGGTCATCGTATAATAAGGAGGCCGGTCGATCTGGAGTCTATACGCTACCAGCCTGCGCTGCATAGTGCATACTGTAAGCTTGGAGCAGGTTAGAATTCCCGGGTTGGGGTATAGCTGATGAGTTCACTGTTTCGCCTAAAATCTTGTTTCCCGTAATTGTCTCTAGATAGTAATTCGACGATCACACGAAGGATCCGAGCTTGAGTAAAAGCACGATAAAGGCGTTCTACCCCCGCGTTGACGTTGGAAGCTTGATCAGTGTGATTCAGTCTCATATGCACTTTGCTCATAACCTCCAATCAAACACCTCGTCATATAAAAATGTCGTCTTTGAACGATAAACTCGCCGCTGCTCTTTCGTCCCGAGAAAAACGGCACATTCGCCGACGCCTCCCTGTCTCGACCTCTACAGTACTCCCCTCTGCAGATTTTACATCCAACGACTATCTTTCTTTGGCTACCTCGTTGACCCTTCGCTCAGCATTCCAATCTGCTCTTTCTGTCGCCCCTCAAATACTGGGATCAGGTGGTTCCCGGCTACTTGTACCAGCACCTGCTCACGTTGCCCTCGAAAGTCGACTGGAGAGGTTCTTCGATGCTGAGAAGGCGTTGTTGTTCAACTCAGGTTTCGACGCAAACGTTGCATTCTTCTCCGCCATTCCTCAGCCTGGTGATGTAGTGCTATACGACGAGCACATTCACGCATCTGTTCATGATGGGATGACTGCTTCGCGGGTAGATTCCTCCAGCCTCATCAAATTTCCACACAATTCAGTTGCAGCGCTTAAGCGATCACTGCGAAAATTACTTCACGAGCGAGATGATCTTCGGGATGGGAAGGCAAGCGCATTTGTGGCAGTGGAAAGCCTATATAGCATGGACGGGACGTTCGCCCCCTTGCAAGAAATTGTGCATTGCGTCGAAGAAATGTTGCCAAGGGGGAATGGATATGTGATAGTGGATGAGGCGCATGCAACAGGGATATATGGCCCGCAAGGTCGAGGGATGGTTGCTGCACTAGGACTTGAGGGACGCGTCCTGGCGCGATTGCACACATTCGGGAAGGCGCTTGCAGGATCAGGAGGTGCGAGGGTTTTTCACCTAAACTGCCGACGATATTCTGAGCATCGATGTAGCTGCGATATTGACCACAGAACTCATACGGGATTACCTCTTGAACTATGCCCGTCCACTTATATATACCACAACGCTCACGTACGCAAATGTCATTGCTGTCGAGTGTGCCTTTGATATGCTGGAGAATGGAAGTGCCGGAGTGGTAAGCTTTGCGTCCCGAAAGCTCGTAGACCTATGATTAACGTAGACTCAGCTTGCGCTCCATCTCCTAGATCTATCAAGGTACTTCTTGGAGCTTCTAAGACCACACCTACAATCAGCTCCGCCCGAACTGCTCTGTCTTCCTGATAATTTAAGTGTGGATAGCCCTCAAGATCCCTCGAATACATCCTTTCCTCCCCCGACGCCTATCATACCTCTCCTTACGCCTCATCCACACTCTCTTGCTGCACATCTTGCTTCCCTTCCACGACCACTGTTCACTAAAGCAATAACATGGCCCACTGTTCCTGTAGGAGCATCCCGCGTAAGAGTATGCTTGCATGCAGGACACACTCGAGACGATGTAAAGAAATTGGTGGAAGGCGTTGTAGACTGGGTACAGGCATGGCTCGTAAGAGAAAGAGAAGAAGCAAGACATTGGCTTAATATGGCCGAAGTGGAAGGTGTAGGAGTGTGGATGGAGTCGAAGTTGTAGATTATAAGGGTGTAATTTTATCTTGGTCGACGGGATCGTCGTAATGTAGCTGTACTGTAGTGATACCCCTTCAAAATTCCCGTCCTCCTCCGTCTGTTCAGTTTTTGTTCTTCCTACGCAATTCCTACAAATGCATTCTTGAGCTAGGTTCACCGCGAACGACCGCAAGTACGTCGAACCCATGCTGACCCCTAACGCTAGCCCGGTTTCGTGCAGCAAAACGGGAAACGAGGTCAACGATCAGGATGCAGGTCCAAAGCGCATTGCGAAATTTGAAGCAGCTGAAGGACTCATCCGAATCACAAAGGGTACGACACCTTCAAACTGATTCAGTCCTGCAAAGCCTCGATCTCACAAGTACTTCGCGCGAGATAGTCTTCATACGAGTCTTGGTAGAGTGCTGCACGTCAAAGCACAGAAATTGAGCAAGCCGCAAAGTTTCGTATCCACAAGCTTACCGGAACTTTTGGCTTTAGTGCGAAACCGCGCGATAACTTCTCGGTTGTGTGCAATCGCCGAAAGCTGAGCATGTTTGATAGTGCCTACATGTTGTTGGAACGCCAGCACTTTTGTTAAAGGACGGCGAAGCTCCACATAAAATCCAAGCCTACCTGAGACGTGAACAACACGAGGAATGACCCTGACATCGTGGATGCCAGTGAGAAGCGTGACGGCACCCCATGCGATTCGATGATGATCTCGTGAGACGCGAATGATACAAAGGTTCGTGGTGGGTGAAAAATACTTCACTGCGGCCACTTTAGATGACAAGCTGAAGGTATATGAAAAATAGACGCACCAGTCAACGACATCCCTACTGCTCCCCATCCAGTATCGCCAAAATTCGTCACGACGCTGTCGCGGAGAGCGTTGTAGATCAGTCTCCCGTCCAAAGATCGCGTATTAAGAGGTTCTGTTCCGCTGGGGGCGTCCACCGTAGATATGTCAACGAATTCGACGAGGAGCCAGCGATTCTTGTTCGACGACTCGGGGTGAGCACGCTACAAGACGTTGAAAATGAGTTGTACCTTGAACCGAACCATGCCTGGCGCTGAAGTGCAAACACGCCACAGTCAAAATGTAACGGTTTGTCGAGGTAAGCCTTGCGAGGGTAACGAAGACCAATAACTGGATGATTTAGAATTTTAGGTCATAATGACAATCTGAGTTCTAGCAGGTACAGCGAGCAGGTGGTAAAGGCACACGTGACACAACACGTGCAATCGCGACGCGTACTGTTGATGTGACTTGTGATGAACTCTATGTGCAGATTCATCAACGGCGATGATTCGACACCAAGATATTTCTACATTCACTCCCAGTCGTTACGCGGCCAGATATCGACCCACCACTGCGGGTTTCTACCCAAAAGGTTCGACAAATAGTCCACCTGCTCCTGCCAAGGGATGATCGGGATTTCTGCCTCGTCATCAGAGCATACAGATAAGACCATCGCCTCTCCATCAACATCCAGATACTCGGGAGGGGCACTATTTATCTTGGGCTAGAACAAATTCTCCACGGTCAGAGGATCGATGTTGGCGACCCACTGGATGTACGCGAACCCCCTTATCCACGGCACTTTTTCATCGGGAGGTTCGAAGGGATCCTCAGGATGACGGATGTGCTTTCCGAGCTCAGCAAGCTTGTTGTTGATCCAGAAACCGTAGTTCTGTTTGTAGTGTTGTCTGGGTGGGTAGGAAAGCTCTAGCTCATGGGGGCGGGCAGTGTTTGTACTGGTGGACCATTAGTGTATGCGATTCGTCATGTCCGTGTGCCCACTGCCCATCAACTCAACTTGATTGAGGGTTTGTTTGTGATGTCCGACTGTGATTGATAGCTAATACCACATAGTCACAATAAGGAAAAGCAAATCCACTGTGTGGGATGCACAGCGCAACCGGGACTGATTATGACTGGGGTCGAACCACAATCCTGATGCTATTGTACGTTGAATAAGTACTACAAGTCAACCACCAAACAGTGGCTGTGTTGTTTCCTCACATTGGCAAAAGAGATGCATCGCGCAGATCCTCGATCAAACATGCTTCTCAGATTCATTTTAACTCTGACGGCGACAGCATTCGATTCACTGTCTACTTGACACACCACGTTACTATTGCAATGTCCGCATCCGAACTTCTCCGTCAATCCATGCAAAATCTAAGGGTAAGTCGAGTGTTTTTTTTGACCGTGGCCCAAGTTAGTGACATACCTTCAGGTTCAACCCGAAGTGAAGTCGAGCCTACCGCCCCTCGTACCACTCAAACGCCCGTCTCGCCCACATCCGCTACAATTTTCCTATCCACCCAGACACCATCGCACGCAATTCTACGGATTCTGGATCAACGAACAGTGGCTCATTGAGCTCGGAAAAAACATCCAAGATCCCGAGGATCGTGTCCGGCCTCCTAAAGAACGTGATTTCTGGTTTAGAGGATTCTCCCACATCTGCTGGGCTGTCAGAATTGATCCTCTGACTGTCGAGCTCTGCCTTCAGCCTAGCCAGGATGGCGCCCCTCCCGAGTATGTGGATGCCGAGGGAGAGGTGTTTGTCTTGTCGGTGTGTTCTGATAACGAGGAGGACGAGCCGGTCATCCCTTTCCAGGAGCAGGTTGACTATCTGGCGAATATTTTGGGTAGGCAGCCACGGTGGTGGGTCAGTGTCTGGCCAGAATGTTAAGAATGTATTGGCATTCAGTCACCGCTATTGATCAATATGTACATAATTATCATATGGGATACTATCCCTACGTCGCTTCTAGCCACTTACAATGAACTACAATACAACCAGAAACGACACCAACACGTAGGACGCGTTGCGTCACGCCGTGTGCCCCATGCTGATGCTCGTCACTAGTACGTACTACACAGGGTCTAGACGATGTGATCTAAAATTCTGAATCCCTCGCCAGGTCTGCCACGACACACTATTACATATCGATTTCGCGTTGTTTGCACCTCAGCGCAAGGCATGCCAGTTTGTACAAGTCTCTTTTAGCAATAGGCTCTCAATGCTCATTGTAGTGTGCTCACTCGAACAAGAATCGCTGGCTCCTTATCGAATTTGTTGATATATCTATGGTAAATGCCTCCAGCGAAACAGAGCCTCTCAATCTTTGGTCAGGAGATTCATCTACGATGCCCTCCGTCGTGAAAAACTTTGGTGGTACTCGATGGGCATTGGGGAGCAGTGGGGATGTCGTTGATCGGTGAGCCGATTCTTTATAAACCTTCAGCTTGCCATGTATTTCCCACCGCGAAACGTTTCAATCATTCGCGTCGCGCAAGATCATGATCGACTTGCATGGGGTTGCAGTTACACTTCTCACACCTCGCCTCGCCCCGAAGATATCCATCGCCAGTCGAACGTCAGCAGGATCAGCCTCCACGACCTTGAAAGTGACAACAAACAAAATCACATGGGGGACCTATGAAGCGAAGGAGGGTAGCACTGACTGTGTCTCGAGAGCTACATCTTGAGATGGTTGCGACTGACTGTGCACGCGTCGGAACCGAACTATGTCCTACTTAGGAGACTCAGAACAGTCAAAGTAATTTGGGGTTTACATATTCTTGTAACTAACCCACCATTGAGGTGCGTCACCAAGCAAATTCGTCGACAATGTCATTTGTTCTTGTGTAGGTCGCGCATTGAAGCTAGCAGGTTCATCCGAGCAAACAGAAAGAACCGCTGTGACAAACTCGTCATTTTCGTCCTCGTCCTCGTAATGACATCAGACTCCACCGGGTTATCCAGCTCCCGCCGCTCTGGGTCAGTGAAATACTTGAACTCAAATCGAGGAAGCTGCGACGTGTGCTGGATCCACTCGCGAGCCAACGACATGGCGTGGTGGAAAGCGGTGGGGTCAATGTGGATCTTACTCTCGAGGTAGAGCAAGTATTTTAGGTTGACGCGATAACCGTAGTGTTGTTCATAGTGTTGTCTAGGTGGACACTGTATATCAATTTGACGTGAATTGGGAGAGCCCGATGTAGGCAACCTAGAAATGTGTGGCTTGTAGGTTAGATATGCGCCGAAACATGATACTGACGAGTCCCAACCTGAAGATTCTGAAGCAGTTGCTCGATTGACAATGGCATTGTACGAGAAGCAATTGGATGACAGTATTGCGACCTGTTTTACTGAGGCTCGTTCATATATCGGTGCACAGCCACATATTCAATCCCACAGATATTAGCCCTAAGTGTCATCAGTTTCGAGTCTTCGACATTACAATTAATCATGGTCGACTCGGTTTTGACCGACATCGATCGTCCACAGTGGATTTTCTCTTATAACACCTTTTATTCACCTCGTGGGTATCCGATTAGCATCCAGAGTCAGCTTGAGTGTCATCACGAGCTTTGGATGACATCCTGGAAGGGGGCCGGGCGGGCCCAACGGTGTGTGAGGAGGTCAACCCCGCCGAACTGTAGTGATAGACCTGGGAACGTCTTGCCCCAACTGGCGAACTTCTAGTCACAGAGATGTCCTGTGGGAGCCTGAGGAGTTGTTTCCATTGAAATTTTTGATAAGTATGAGGTGCGGATTAATATCAAACCATGTAACAAGAAAAGAAATTTGTTGACATAGTAAGAGAGAAACACGTCATGAATCGTAGTGACCGATTGCGCGAGGCACGAAGCTCGCCCATCACACTTGGGATGCGCGGAAGATGTGCCAAACATGAATATCAGAGACATACAGTTCAAGATGCTAAATCCTGATCCCATACGAAGTCCACTGCAAATCAGCGATCATCACGAGTATAGAACACTATACTCACACAGCGCAGCACAGCGTACAATATGATATGGCATTCATGATTCGCTCGGTCAAATGAGCGACACAGCAGGCGTCTAGACGAGGACAAACAGAGCTGGCAGCTTGGGAATAAAGAAGCATAGATTCAATGAAGGACAGCTAGCGACAAGCCACACGTAGAGTATATGGGCATCCTATTAGTACTCACGACGTGCAATCCCAAATTCCACCTATTTACAGCATGTAATCATATCCATCCCACACACTACCCGCGTACACATGTATACGTCTGCACGCGGCACGCGGCGGGATGGTTTAATATTGCACCGGAAAATCCACTTCAGGAGCTGCAATGAGCAATGCGGCGCCTGTACACAGTGGTGCGTTGGTTGAGGTTTCGTTGGTCAAGACAAGGGGGAAAGGTAGAGGGAAGGCCGGTCAGGAGGAGATTCGACTGACAAGAGACTGCGAAAAAGAAAAATCCCGGTGACTTTCGACGAGAGATGGTCTTTACTACTACCGGAAAGTGTTAAACTGGTAAACCACGAACTTAAACAAAGCCAGATAGTCGCAAAGGGGCCATTCTGAGCCACATCGCATTTCGCTGGGCTTGCGACAGCCACCCCGAAACTACATGTATGAAGATCAACGACCTAGAGGCTAAGACGATGGATGTGTGCGAGAAATCATCAATTTTTTTTCCAAAGGAGTTTAGTTTGTACATGTTGAATACGCAAGGCGTTGCCATACACGCGTAAATATGTTCATCTCCTTCCCCACTACCGTAGCAGCTTACAGCGATGCGGAACTTCGAATTTGTTGTCAATTCGTGGTGTAGTTCGAACTGTTCACTAGGGTGCATCGCACGCAATATCATTCCATCTAATACAGTCCCGTACGCGTATGCTTGAAACATAGTTCACACTTAGCGTGTTCTACTCTCCCCAGGATTCCGCACTGTGACGCATACCCACAACTCACCCACCATGGCATGTAGTGCCAACTTTTCAAATGACATGAAGTCCATCTTTCCCTGTGTAGAATGCTTCTGAAAGGTGTCATCGTCCGAGCGATGGAAAGCTGAAGGTCTACGAGGAACCGACGCACCGGTCAACGACATCCCCACTACTTCCCATCCAGTGTTGCCAAAGTTTGTCACGATGCGGCTGTCGCCGAGAGCGCTGTAGATCAATATCTCGTCCAAAGATCGCGTATTGAGAGGGGCTGTTGCGCTGGAGGCATCCACCGTAGATATGTCAACGAATTCGACGACGGGCCAAGGATTCTTGTTCGATGACTTGGGGTGAGCACGCTATAATACACTGAAAACCAGTTGTACCTTGTACCGAACCATGCCTGGTGCTGAAGTGCAAACACTCCATAGTCAATACGGAATAGTATGTCGAGGCAAGCCTTGGGCGAGGCCAACGGAGACCGACAACTGGATGATTAAATGATTTTAGATCAAAATCACAATCTGAGTGTAAAGGTACACGTGACGCGTACTACGTGTTGGCATCACTTCTGATTGCAGTGTATTGTCATTTGCTGGCAGTGACGCGATAATCATATGTACATATTGATCAATGGCGGCGACTCTGTCGATAGATTTTCAACACTCTGGCCAGACACTGACCCACCACCGTGGCTGCTTACCCAAAATGTTCGCCAGATAGTCTACCTGCTCCTGGAAAGGGACGACCGGCTCGTTCTCCTCATTATCAGAACGCACTGACAAGATAAATACCTCTCTGTCGGCACTCACGCGCGGGAGGGGCTCCATCCTGCCTGGGCTGAAAGGCTCTGACTATCGAAAATTGCTTTCAGCCGGAGACAAACGGCGCGCCGACAAAGTATCTGGACTCTGATAACGAGGGGGAAATCCCAGTTATCCCTTGCCAGGAGCAGGTGGATTATTTGTCGAATCTTCTTGGTAGAAAACCACATTGGTGGGTCAATATATGGTCACGCAACGCTTAGGAGTGAATGTAGCGCCGTTGATCAATCAATTTGTACATATTCTCATCATCATCCTTCTTATCCACGTTGCTGCCAACCTAACTCGCGTCGCTACTACTTACTTCGTCTCGAAAAAACAAATCAACACATTCATCATAAACGACGAGTATGTAACATCATTATATATATACCATCATGAACTCTCCGATCCCCTTTCGCAGGCAAGAGGATAACGATAACAAGACGTGGGTACATGCTGGGGTTGTTGGTGCACTGCAAAGTACTGTGGCGCAGGATTACAATATTAATGTGTTCAGTTTGCACATGTTGAATTCCCAAGGCGTAGTCAAACAGGCGCAAATAGATATCCCCTTTCCCCCACCGTGATTGTGAACTATAATTAATACCACCTACTGGCTTACGCCCACGAGAAGGAATTTTAGAATAGGTAAGTTATAGGGACCATTGTTCCTGCGGGTGGTCCACAACAGAACCATGACCGATGTGGCTGTGGATCTTCGAGTGGCCACAGGCCGTACAACTTAAAAGACGCGTGTTATATGGATACACAGTCAACATTCGTTTTCGCTCTGACAGCGACAGCCTTTAATTTTTCCGTCTCTCACCTGAATATCAAGCATCACAATATGTCTGCATCCAAACTCTCACGTCAAGCGATACAAAACTCATGGGTGAGCCATCTTATTTCATCAAATCTTGCAGGTCATATGCATGGCTCTTTACTGATCCGATTCATACCCCATTACAGTTCAACGAAACCAAGTCTACTCTCCCGCGCCTCGTACCATGCAAACTGCCGTCCCACCCACACAAGCTGGAGCTATCCTATCCCCCCAAACAACGCTATACACACAACTACGGTTTCTGGCTCAGCCCCGAATGGCTCATTGACCTCGGAAAACACATCCGACTCATTGAAGATTGCGTCGAGCCTCCTGACCACACTGAATTTTGGATGAGAGGAATCGGTTACATCCGTTGGGCCCTTGACATCGATCCTCTGACTGCCGAGAACTGTTTTCTGACTATCGAGCACTGCGTTCAGCCGGAGACAAACGGCGCGCCTATAGAGTGTGTGGATTCTGATGGAGAGGTGGTTGTTTTATCTGTGTGCTCTGATAACGAGACGGACATCCGAGTCATTCCTTACCAGGAGCAAGTGGATTATTTGTCAAATCTTCTTGGTAGAAAACCACAGTGGTGGGTCAATATCTGTCTACCGCGCAATGCTTGGGAGTGAATGTAGCGCTGTTGATCAATCTGTACATACCACCCTACTATCTACGTCGCTGCCAGCCTAAGAGTCTAAGACGCGTCGCTCGTGTTGCGTCACGTGTGACTTTATATCTGTGGACTTGCACCTTCCTATCGTACAGTCTCGAAAAACAAATCCGTAAAATTTGTGTAAAATTGCATATACAATACACTCATCATAAACGACGAGCAACGACATTATTTATATAGATATACCATTATGAACTCTCCGTTCCGATCTCGAAAGCAAGAGCATAACAATAACAAGATGTGGGTACATGCGAGGGTTTTGGTGCAACATGTGTAGCGCGGGTTTGTGGTGCGGGTTATATCAACATGCGTGGCACGGGTGATCGACGTGTGGCGCGGGTTATATCAACATGTATCGAGCGCAGCGATTATGCGCGCATGGCGATCGTGGCGAAATGACGACCGTGGATCGTGGTTTGTGCATATATGCAAGCGGGTGTATGGGTACAAGGGGTGTCGATAAAATATGCATGTTATGACAGTGCATCTGGGGGGATATCACAGGCGTACAACACCAAGTGGCAGCGCGTGACAGGGGTATAGCTGGCAGCGTGCGGGGAATAATCGCACATTAACCAGCGAGGAACAACCGCCCGCTGACCATGGGGAATAACGTTGTGGGGAATAATCAATCGTGCGGGATACAACAACGAATGAGACGCCTAACGCGCCCGGATCCGCAATGCAAACTCTGCAATCCTAAATTCGGATTCGGAGAAATTATCGCTACATTGATATTGCTTGTCGTACTGAGGGAAGGGGGGGTGATGAGGTGTGGTGTTGGAGGGAGGGAGGCGGCGCTAGTAGGTTGTGTGATGACGCGTGAGGTGGGTGGGGAGCGATGTTTCTTGTTTAACGAGGAGAGGTGGGTGATGAGGTGCAATGAGTGACTGTGACGAGGGCCAGCGGGGTTTGATAGAGGAGGTACAACGGCGTGCATGAAGAGGTACAGATGAATTAAGTTGTGCAAACGTGAATAGAGTAGTGAGCGAGGCAGTGCACCAGTCACCACCCTCACCCAAGCGCAAACCGCAGCGTACTGTCTGCTTCTCCTACAGTCTGCGAGGCGCCTAGTACTCCCATGCTTTGGGAGGCGCTCATTCCTTGTGAAGGGCCCAATACTCCCATGTTTTGCGACCCACCCAAAACGCCCAAAGCGTCAAGACCCTGCGAGCTACCCATTCCTCCCATACTCTGCGGAATTTCGCCATTCTGCCCACTCTGCACCCCAACAGACGCTCCAAGCTCATACCACCCAGCACCCGTCCCATCCCCCTCAAGCATCGCAAACAGAAAACTCGTCCATTCCCCTGGTACAGTATGTGTGTGGGTGTTGGTGAGAGTATGATGCGTTTCTTCATGCGGAGGTGGGGGTGGGTTCTCATTATGCTGCAGTGGCGGGTTCTCGTTGCTCTGTTCACCGTGCTGCGCTTGCTCCACGTGCTGCGATGACAAGTTATCCACATGTTGCGCCTGTTCCGTATGCAAGTTTTCCCCATGTCCATGCACAACCCTCCTCTCCCCACCTTTCCCCCCATAAACCTGCACACACCCCCACCTTCCCCACTCACTCAGCCGTCTCCTATCAGGAGGAGTCCCACGTCCCATAAATGCGCGGGGAGGCTCGGAGAGGAGGGTTACGTGGAGGGAACTGAGGGGTGGGGTGCGTGGGAGTGTGGGTTGGTGTGTTTGTGGCGGTGTGGAGGGAGGGTGTGTTTGTGTTGGTATTTGAGGTGTTGGTATTGGTATTGGTATTTGGGGTGTGGGGGGTGCGGTCGTTGGCATTTGAGGTGGGGGGGATGTTGACGGTAATTGGGGTGCGGGTGTTGAAGGAAGCGTTGGAAGTGTTGACATCGGTATTGAAGGAGCAGGAAACCTCGGTGGCGTCGAAGGAGGAGAGGGCGTTCTTCGAATCAACGGAAGAGGCGTACACGGCGGTGACGTACACAATGGCCGGGGATGCGGTGAGAGCATCGTAACCGCAGGCGGCGAAGTAGATCGCGTCGGGGATCTTTGAGGTATCGATTCCGTTATCACCGGTGTCATCGGCGCTATCGACGGAACTTCGGGCAACAAAATTGCCGGCACACAAGGCGGGACAATAACCCCCTCCCTGCCTACATCCATCAAAAACAACCCCTCGCCCTCGCCATCTTCATCGTCCTCATCATAATCACAATCCTCATCATACTCGGCCCCATCCAAATCATCATCCTCATCGTCTTCATCATCCATATCAAAATCGACAGCTTCGAATTCTGCTGATTTGTAGGTGTAGCTAGCGCGTTCGAGGTAGGAGGCAGGTGTGTAGAGACGGAAACGGGTGGATGAGGGGGAGGGGTAGCGTGCGCGTGCTTCAGATGCTACGAGGGCTTTGATGGTGTCTATACCATAGCGGCGGAGTCTGGGGTGTGGTGAGTACGAGGGTGCTGTGGCATGGGAGGGACTTACAAAAATTCTACTCGTTCTTGGCATGCTAGTTTCCAGATGTTGACTTCTCGATCTCGGTGGGGGACGGGTGCGTATTCATAGGAATTTGTGTGAGGTTGGGAGAACGTTCCTGGGATGATGTGAGATAGAGCAATTGATGGGAGGGAGAAACGTACCTTGTTGGGGATATCCGTTGGATTCATTCGACTGGGCGTACTCATTTGACTGTGGAGGGAATCCATTGGACTGAAACCCGGTGGGAGAAGAGAAGCCGGGTGTACTCGAAAAAGCATTGTCCTGAAAGTCGGGTTGGGACTGGGCAGGTATGAATTCGTGAGAATGGGATCCGAATCCTGTAGAAAACGAGCCAGGATTGAGATTTGACCCGAATGCACCCGGAAGAGTTGGCTGGGATGAGCCGAATGGAAGGGTATTTGAAGAGAAGGGGTCAGATGGAAACTCGGAGTTAAAAGATGCATTGGATTGAAAGTCAGGGGATGTATGAGGAAATTCTGGTAATGGATCTAATGGGATTAGGGCATCGAGGTCGACTTGTATTGGAGGTGGTGGCGGGGAAACGTCATCTTTGGGCGCTAAAATGCTCGGTTGATCGGTAAGCACGGTACGAATAGATTCCTGGCTTGTGACTGGGCTAGAAGTTGATAGAGGTAGATCAAGTTGCATAGGAGGGATATGGTGTGTCTTGGACACGTTTTGAGCACGGGGTCGCATTCGACGACGACGACGACGACGAACCTCCTTGACGTCGTCGAGGGCGGCGGCGTTGTTATCATTCTCTTTGCGTCTCTTTCTTCTATGTATATGGGACACTAAAAGTCCATCCGAGTCAACTGTTAGACGCTGACGTTTGAGTGCTCTCAGTGCACGTGGGGTGAGCTCGTCAGTCTCGCTGGTAGAGCTATCTCCAGACTCAGTATCAAGTTCAGGAATGGTTGTTGGTCGCCGTTTAGAAGTTTGATGCGGGTGTTGTGCTATACGAGAAGAACGCCGTAGGACGAGGTCGACAGCAGCCATGAACAACGAGTCTGCAGCAAGGGCGAGCCTGCTCCGATGCTTCCAATTCCAAAACGGCACTCGATCAACAATTCAACGGATCACATAATCAATGCACGGACCACACACGTGACAATCGCGTTCAAGTTCCGATCGCAACAACGGTCGACGTCTTGGTCTTTATAGACACAAGCAGGAGGTCAACTTAGACCCAATCGATTTTCTCATCCCAAATATCTTTTTCAAGTGCCAACGTGCATCTCGCAGGCTACAGTAACCGCAAAGTAAATATAGACAGCCTCCTGTCTTACCTTCTACAAAGCTAGGAGGTCCACTGTGTTCCACACGCAATCTGACCCCAACGTGACAACCGTGTTGACTTCGCTCTCGTTTTTTAGGTGCCAACGAAGCATGTCGCAGGGATGCTACCATGCGGCATAACGGTACAGTATAGTCGTAAAGTTATAGTAGGCTCCCTATCTCCGACTTTGAGATCTAAAAACGAAGGCAGGAGGTTGACTTGGTTCCACGCACACCAGACGCAATCGAAAAATCCTGCATTTGGGGGAAGCAAGTGAAGTTAGGACGGAGCCCATAGACGTCACTTCAGCTGGCGGACAAGTGATTATACGTGCGTTATTCCGATTCGACGAGCCATGTTGACGATGTCCAGATCAATACCGGCCTCAACATACCTTCCAAGTGGCTAACGATGTTGCCTGCTTTTTGCCACAAGGATGGATCATGTGCATGAATAATGGTACAGTATAGCTTCAAAGTACTAGTTGACCCCCTGGCTTCGTCATCCAGAAAGATCTTGAAGATGAAAGCAGGAGATCCACTTGGTTTTACGTATACCAGACGCAATCCCTTGCATTTCGCAAGAGGGGGAAGCAGGTGAAGTCCCACATGTTGACTTCGTTCTCGATCTCAAGAATCTTTCTTTTCAGCTACCAGCAAGCATGTCGCAGAGATACTATCATGGATAACAGTACAGCATAGTCGTAAAATAATAGTCGACTTCCTTGCATTTGCTCGTCCTAAGTCGAGACAAGCCAATGTGAGAAGGTCGATTTGGTTTCAGGCACAGCAGACACAAAACTGTTCCCATGCGTCTCTCGAACCCCTTTCCACGCATACATAGCACCAGATCACATCCTGTCACTTGAGCGTCATCTATCGACGATGAATAGATTCCTAAATACTCCCAAGCTCAAAGCCCGCACCGTATTAAAGTTGACATCAAGAGAAATTTTTGCCAGCAACTCCTCCATCATAAACCTGCACGGAGATTTTGTACCACCCATCTCCCACTTGCCAGCTGAAATCCTACGCCACATTTTCATCCTGTGTCTCCCCCAAACCAGCCACTTCCTGCCCAAATCGAACCATGCTCCTATGCTCCTCACCAGAGTATGCCGACGATGGAGAGACATTGCCACGGACATGCCCTCCTCGTGTTGAAGACTCTCCTTGGAACTCAACTGCGTCAACACCTCTTGCTATGACTCGTGGCTCAAGCGAACGCGAGGTCGTCCCCTCTTAGAAACCACGTGCAACGAAAACGAGACCACCGACCTAAGAGCTATTATCCAGCCTTACATTCACCAAATCACCTTTCTCGACATCACATTCGTCAGTGCTGTCGCACCTGAAATTCTGTTAAACGACCTTCCAGCACTTCGGGAACTTCGAGTTAAGATCAATACCAGTATTCCCGTGCGATATACACTAGAATCAGCCATCTCGCCACTCTCCTCTCTGCGCAGTCTCGAATTAAGAGGACATGCCCACCTCAACCCCAAGCGCTTATCTTCTCTCAGTCCCGTATTAGCCCAGTTCACATATGTCAAGATCACTGCATGCACAACCGATACCATCATGCCCTTGCTCCAGCTATGCCCCAACCGTCACTAAAGATGTACATGCTCCTCGATATCGAACAGCCCTGCCAGTAGGAGTCATTCACCTATATCAGCATTCAATTCTTATTCATTCAGTACTCCATCGTGCTCTGTGAAGGAGATTTGGTGTTCAATTTCGACGCGTTCACGCTCTCTAATTTCCGCATGCTTGATGTTTCTAGGCAATCTCAGCCGGCTGAAGAGTTGAGGGCTTTGTCTGGTGCGGCTGGACAGTCCACTGGAGGGTCTTATTTTCCGTCTTCAGAGTGGAGCTTTCACTTGCTACGTAGTTCACAAAATGAGGACATCGAGCCAACTCATCACGCCAACATGCGACCCTGAGTTCAGCACTGGAGCGTAGCTTCATACGTCTGTGTGAGAACTGCTTTTCCTGATGCAGTGGCATATATTGTAGTGACCGATAATTGTACGATTCGAAGAGTGACGCATGCGATAATACCAGTGGCCACTTTACCAAATATCGTCACCATGTGAGTCGCTCTGGACCATCTAGTTGCCGGAGACCGAGTGCGTATGTCAAGGGTAAGCGGCGTTCTGCATTGTAAAGACCCGGACCAGGCCTCGATCATGATATGTAGCGAATATCGGCAGTCGTGTTCAACATCTTCTTCACGACGGTAATTTGATGACGACCCAACCTCTCCAATACCATGCGAGTCGCTCTAGACCATCTAGTAGTCGGAGACAGACTGTGTATGTTAAGGGTAAGTGGCGTTCTGCGATGCACAAACCTAGACCAGGCCTCAATAGCGAACAGCATGCGAAGAAGTTCCTCATCTGCTACGTCCTCGTCTATTCGACTGAGCGTGATCGACTTTAGCTGCGCCAAGAGAGGCATCGACTCGGTACTCCCTGACTCCATCTCCATGGACAGCATCAAGGAAAACGTAGCGATGTCATGTTCAACAAGTTGAATATGTTCGACTTTCGGAAAAGCCCCAAGGAAGTTGATTCCACGAACGACTGTATGGTCCGTGCAATTGTTCAGAACAAGTGTTGTCACTTGAGGGAATTTGGTGTTGCCAGAAACGTCGTAGAGATAGGTGTCTGCATCATCCCAGAATGTGTCTCCTTTATGTGCGTACATTTCATCTCCGAATGGATGGAAGAGCTCAAGATGACGAAGACGAGGGGCGAATATGCCGCTCAGCATGCAATGGAGCTGTTCCATGGTGTAAGGTTGGAGGATAAAGGTGTGCAGAGTTGGAATATCCACGACACCGTAATGAGGACAGTCGGTAAACTCAAAATCTGCTGCATCAAGATCGAATTTTACAACTACTCCTTCGAGTCTGAGATATTCCAAGTTCGGAAAAGACAAGAGCAACTGTTTGAACCTCCTCCAACTGGGTATGACATAGTCACCTGACCAGTGGGTGGTCAGCGTGAGGTGCGTCAACGAGTTGAAGAAGGAGGAGGTGCAGTGTCCCGCTGTGACTATACCCATGGCTGTCAGGGTGGGAGCGGAGTATGCAGCGATGTATGGGAAGCAATTCCGCAATTTCCATAAAGCAAAGGCTTTTCTTTTGTCCACTGTCAAGTGCCTGAGCTGGGGAAGGTAACCAAGGTTGTTGACTCTGGAGAGAACCAATTGTATGTTTCTCGATCCCATGTTCGTCAACAACAGCGAGTGCCACCTTTGAGAACTGCTTGCGAGGACAGCCAGTCGCTGCTTAAGTGGTCCTTTCCAGATTCCTGCATCACGCCATGAGTCCAAGGAAATGTCGAGCGGTCTGTCACAGGATCTCCCGAGGTATGTCTTTATGAGCTGGATAGACTCGTGTGGCACTACCGAGATTGTAGCCCAGAACGCAGGTGTTTGCACAGCTATGGAACGCCACTTCTTGCACACCTTGGCGAGAATCCTCTCGGGATGTGGATGATGTGATGTCCCTCTTTCAGGGATGAGATTCTCAAAGATCGCGGAAAGGAGTTCGTTTGGAAGGTCGCTTGGTACTATCCCAAGCGCGTCTTTCACCCGGGGCTCTGAAAGAGAGGTGGGGCCCCTGATGCCAAAAACAGAGTGGTGTCCGCGTTTCACATCACATCCAGAACTCGATTGCAAAGACAAGTTGCTAACAAGCATGTTACTACATGAGACAACGTGTGCATAAGGTTGAAGCATAACTCACGTCAGTTGCACGACATTAAAGTCCAACATCTTATCCAGATCTCAGAAGGTCGGGAAGCCGCGGAGGCAATCTGTCAGTTGATCTGAGTAAAATGCAGAGGAGCTGGTGTTTTCATGTCAGATAGGAACGGACCTGCCTTGGAAACCTCGATATTGAACTTCTGAAGCAAGTCTTGAAGGCCAATGTGACTGGCCAAGCTGCCTTGTCACATACATCCTGGCGTCACGCGCACTTTTCCGAGTCGCGGCGTGAAGGAGTCGGATAACTTGTGGTCTGACCGACCTTCAGCTAAAGTGGTTGTTATATGCTCCAGGTGAATAGGTCTGCATGCAGGATCTGGAATGTTTGCGCAAGGTTGGAAATTGTAAGTACCGTCTCCCGCAACTGCAACATCCAAGAAACATATTCCTTCAACGTACGTGTGTACATTACTTCTAGCTAGTCGACGTCTACACATGCCAACTTAACTGCAAAGCATAGCATGATGACTCCAACCAAAGCGTTTACTGCACAAAGGACCGGTGCAGCGAACTGACAACCCATATCATGCAAAAATGGCGGGATCCAAACAAAGTCACAAACATGCGCATGAGGACCGAAGACATGTCGCTCACGAACTTCGGTCAGTACCCCGCCAATTAAATAACTAGATAACACCACTCACATCACAATACCATGTTGTACGAGCAGTCGATCCAACCAGAATTCTGTGACAAATATCATGTAAAACGCCGTAATTGACGTAAAGTACTCTGGGTAGACTCACGAGTTCTCTGATGTACAAATGGCATCATCAATAGTATTCCTGGTATAGTTGCACTTACTGATCCCCATAGTACACTGTGGCCTTACCAATCATAGTTATCCATGTAGGTATCGTTCGTGACACTCAATGTTCAAGATCTTAGGGACGATACTCTTGAAGATGTTGGATAAATATTCACATAGTCCTCGGTGATGAATATTCCGAACAGCCCTTAGAGCCATTCACGCACAACATTATTCAATCCTGGTCCATCGAACTAATTTCCTTATTCATTCAAATCACTCGTACTGTCAACCTTTTTGCAAATAGCTGTAAAAGGAGGCTCATTTCTTGACTTGTTCAATGCAGTCATTTCATTTTTTTCACGTGTGCTTGAAATTTGCGGCAGATCCTGGCCTCACGAGGAGCTGGAGGCTTCATTTGGCACCGTTGGATCGTCCATGTAGGAGCCTCACCCCTGGTGCTGGAGTGCTGATGACATATGTGCAGCAAGCGGAATGCATGGCACTCACGTACCCGATCGAGCTGAAGTCAGATGAAACCTACGGGGAACTTGCAGATTGATGTGAGTCATGTGAATCCGCGACTGTGTGATGGATTGATGGCAAAATGAATCCGTCCAGCATGGCCAACCCAAGCCAACGCACTGCTAGCCGGTTCGATCAATATTAGTGAAAAACGAGGCAAAGCTTATTCTCCGCACTACTATCGGTTGTCACAACTTCGGTCAACCACTGGTTCGGACACTTTGCAATAGCTCACACAATTCAGCCTCAATAAATATTATATCTTACCACATATCATTGTACACATATTATAAGCCACTATAAAGTTGAATCATCGAAATTGGTGGAGAAATGATTGAGATAGTTGTTAAGGTGTGACAGAGCAGCTGTTTGTCACTCGGCGAGTCTGCCGTGGCGGAGTTTCGATACCTTGTAGGAAGGATGGGCTCGTAACGCCAAATACCACCCAGTGACACTGTGTGACTGTCTGAACCAGTGGTTGACTGAAGTTGTGGTAACTGATAGTAGTATGCATATGATCGATTCCAATCCACTGATTAGCTTGCAACATATGACTAACATTACCAAAAAGGTTGACAACCTTAGAATCGTCGTGAGCACTAGTGAGCGGCCACTGCCAAATAAGGACTAACATGTGGCTTATTACACGTACGCTGACTGCGTTTATCATATCTACTTGCTTACTGGTTTACCGCGACAAGTTCCGACAACAACAGTACTAGTATGTACTACTGCTGGCAGTGTTCTTGTGATCACGCGAACGCGGACCTCAAATCAGTCACTCGCTTTGTTCTTGCACCCGCCTCTCCCTGATCACAGTATTGCACTGGTATCTTCGAGAACGCCCGTAAAGATGTTTTAAAATCACCCTCGAGGTTAATCAAGCGCTTCAAGCTTACTAGGTGCTCGTTGAGCTGTTGAGAGTGAAGGAACGCGCAGACACAAACGTGAGCAAGTCGTTGATGTTCTTGTGCGTTCCGAAATACAGAGAGAAGGGACTGAGATGATGTCAAATTGAAACAAGCAATGTTACATACGAGAAACAAAGACAGGTGTTTGCCAGTTTGGGGTGGGGTTTTTTAGCTGCGGTCTGGATCGGTTTTGTGCCGAGAGATCCAGACAGATGCTATGCTATCCGTCAAAGTGAAGGGAGTGAGCCAGAACTAGGCCTGCGCAGGGATAAGCGGTCAAGAACCCTCGGGTGTGAGGTAGCACTAAGTGAGGTTTTTGGAAAAACACGACACAACCCAAAAACTACCAAGACACTAAAAAGGGAAGTGGTGGGCCGGTAAACGAAATGGCTTGCAAGCAAACGCGAATGGGGAGATAAGAAGAGAGACGCGCGTACGTACGCGTTTGCTCGCTTAGTAAGCAATAGTTTGATCTAAGATTTGTTCGCAAGGATCAAACTGCACGTTCTCTAAATCTTGTCCCTGTAAATTCATTTCGAATGGATTCAGGGTTGTCTAAGCACAGTGGCAGGACTGCGGAGTGCCTCTTAGTGAAATCGAGGTGTGCAATGACACTACTTATTCTGAATCAGGGAGACTGACTGTCTATCTCTGCGGTGTCTTCGATCGAGAGAAGCAGATGAGCTGTGCAAAAACTATGCAATCATGCTATACTATGTCTTGTGAATCATGCAGACTCCCACGGTGTTGTCTTCGATCAATCGATCAACGATCGTACTAATAGGCACACAACCTAAGGCAACTTTACACATGCATACTCATGGTTTATACTAAATTGAAATCAATAGGTTGGTACTTGCGAGTTGATATGGGTTCAGCCCAGCCAATAGTCAGAATCCTTTCAATTGGGATAGATTGCTAGTAGCTGGTGATTGATAGTAAGTATCAACGTGCTGTTCCTTGGCCCGTCATCGCGTCATGGTTTGGCATGCCACTGTTTCCTGCTTGCTCCAAGCTTCGTGTCCTCCCTGCCTGCTGTCCGATAGTAGGCATATAAAAGGATGAATATCCCCAATACCAGACATCACCTGTAGGTCCTCTACAATGCGTCTTCATTTGCTCTTTGACGACACAACCATGCCAGACCAACTCATGATCAACCAAGAATCCCTCGACGAAGACTTTGATTGCACCTTTGTCAACCTATCCGGTAGTCTCTCTCGTGTTAATGATGTGGTGGGATTTTTCAGAAAGCCTTTTCTGTTATATTTATCGTGCTGAAATTCTCTCCTTCAAAACTACAGAGCTCAATGATACGTCCCAGCGATGGGTTCGCAGCGCCCCTTCCGACTGCTATGTGGGAAACCAAGTTAGTTTTGCTCCTTCTCTTCCTTACAGACATATAATACCGAATCGATCGAGCAGCACTGCTTACAACCACCGCAACCTTATCCAAGGGCAATACTCAACACAATTGGTTTCCGCATTTATCCCCCAGGCCTTGGGTATACCTCAAACGCAAAGTATCTACTCCTACCCTACCGCCACCAACATGCTTACATCTGTCTCGAATAATGACTCCTGGAACAGCCCACAAACCCTTCATAACTCCCAGGACAATGGTCGTTTGTTAAGAGGCACCGGGCACTCTAGCTGTTCTGCAGGAGGAAGTGACTACTCGTCTTCCTACACATTCCCAATGTACGTCCTTCGTCATCATTTTTTGTTCATAATCACCCACGTATTGCAGGCGGTATCCAAATGCCCACCCGTTGTGTTCCTTCTCGCAAGACATACATTTCGTCTTTGACACCGAAATATCCACCCCTGCCAATTTCCCGCCGTATAGTGAATTGTCACAGCATTGTCCGAATTCTGCCATCTCTCAGCCAGGCCCTCCGAGCGAGCCACTCCCACCTATGATACCTCTGCCTGCGACTCCTGAATCTTTGCAAACTAGATTTGCATCACAACCCCATGCAAGTCACGGTGGACCTACATGTTCAAACCAGCCACCGACAAGACAGCCAGATTCGGACCAGCCCTCGTCTCCCCTCTTAATATCCTGCCGATGGCAACGTGACGTTGGAACATGTGGATTTACAGGGACACTACAGATGTTAAGGGCGCATTGCCAAACCAGACATTTTATTGGGCCACAGAATGCTCAGATTGCATGCCGCTGGGAAACTTGCAATTATCACAAACGCAGCGACCCCACAGTTCGTGTCATGCGACGGGACTGCATGTGGCGTCATACTTGCGAGGTCCATTTGGGGATGAAGAGGAGTACCTAGACATGCACACCTTACATTCTTATGCTAGTGTGGTCTTGCTGTTTTTGGATTCCTTATGTACCACTACCTATACGACTTATGCGTTTATGATACCGTCATTCCTAGTAAATCTCTACTCTTGTCGATCGTTTGCCCTGGGTCCTCTTTGTCTCACGTATACTCGATATCCTCGTGTTTTGTGTGCGGTTCAACCAACAACTCTGAGTCAACACATACACAAAGAAAAAGCCATTTTGCCGCCATATGAATATATGAATAACGGTGATTCACAATACAGCCGTAGGTAATGTCGACCTCATTCCTTTGAAATCCTTCCTTCCATATAGATCTTCGATTCTAGATATGTCGCTTGAGCTCCACGCACGGCAGATGCGATCGAAAGACAAGGGGAGCAGGTAAAGTTCTCACGCGTCAGGGAAGAGCCTGAACCGGCCATTCCTCTGGCAGTAGCTATCGATAGCACCTTGTCCCAACCCCCTTCAACTCCTATGCCATATTATTTTCATCCACCAAGCCAGCCATTCCCCCCAAAATCCAAACATCCTTCTATGGTCCTCGTTAGAGTATGCTAACGATGGAGGGACGTTGCCGCGGACTCTATGCCTTCCTTGTGGTGCAAACTGTCCATGGAACTCGACTACGTCAGTAATAGAAAATGGCGGCAGATAGTCTCCTGCTCCTCGTGGCCTAAGCGAACGTGAGGTTGTCCCATCTCTCTAGAAATCACATGCATCAAAAACGACACCACAGACCTCCGCATCCTTCTCCAGCCTTACATCCACCAGATCACCTCTCTCAATGTCACATTTGTCAGCGCCGTCACACCCGAAATCTCGTTAAACAACCTCCCAGTACTCAAGAAACTTCGAGTCGACATAAAGACCAGTAGTCCCGTGCGATATAGCTTTATTCTATAACACCACCCATCTCGCGACTCACCACTCTCCGCAGTCTCGAGTTGGACGGGGAGACCTCCCTCGACCCCGAGGGCTTATCTTCTTTCAAACCCGCATTGACCAATCTTACAAACATCAAGATGGATACATGTTCGGCAGGTGTCGTCATGCGGTCGCTCCAGGTCAGTCCCAACCTCTCCTCCTGAAAGAACTCTGACCTCCTCGAGACTGAGAAACACCTGGAGCTGTTGACCCACACCAACCTTCAATTCTTGTCCATCAGAGTCACCATTAGTGCTTCCACGCCCTTACTATTAGTACGAGAATCATTCGGTTGGTTGATGCGCTCACTCTTCCCAATTTACGTATGTTTGAAGGCAATACTAAATTCCAAACTCGTGTAAGGTTTACCAACCGTTTACCGCCGGAAAATGCCGATACTCCTCTCACCGCAACCACCATGTCAACGCCTGGACCGTTCGTCAAGCACGATACCGACCCCTTTATTAGTACCTACTATTTCGATTCTTATCACTCGCTACTCTATCAAATACAACGCCACTCCCTTCAGCTACCGCTTTCACCAACCGTACACTAAGCCCTTGCCTTTAACTATTCCAGGACGACCCTTCTTCATCCTACAGTATAAGTAGCCCATGTACATTCCTAATGACGAGCAGAATAGAACAGTAGATCCCCCAGAAGAACGCCCCGAAGAACTCGTTTCATTATCTTCTCTTATCATCGCTATAACGCGGTCGCTCTCGTTTACCGATTCACGATATCTCTCGCATCCGTCATCCCTCCTTTGAAGCTAAACACTAACCATTATCATTCCTTCAGGGGTCTATCTACCCCCTTCGCACTCGCATCGCCTCTAGCTACGCGCGTCGTAACTAACTTACTCGTGAAGACTTGAAGGTTGTATTTGGTGCGGTTGGGTCGTCTATTGGAGAGGATCAATGTCCGCGCTCAGAGTGGAGTGATGACGGCTGAGCGCTGAGCAGCGGGCGGAATACTTATATGGCCCTCACGCCTTCCCTTGGGGCGGTTGAGGATCATGTGCTCCATCCTTTTAGAGAAGACTTAAGCTTATATACTCGCTACGTATTTCGCAAAATGAGGTTATCGAACTGCCATCAGCAGCTGGAATTTAACATCATATACAGTGATCCAGTACGGAGGACCAAGCCGTTCTTGGGATTAAAACAAAACCGTAGATGGACGTCAAATCCGAAATAGGTTTGTATGCTCGCGTCTCGGCAGTGTCATCATAGCTTTTGTCCTTGCGATTGGGCAACACCGCTGGCCAGTGTTGTCCAGCAAACTGGATAAGCCATTTGGAAGAGACTGCATATCCGTAGAATTGAAGATGAGACTGCCTGTTGGGACGGACAAGTTTGAAGGGGCATCGTCTAATGGAATCCCCGGTATGTTCTGCGGTCGCTATCTGATGACCGTTAGAAGGAAAACAACTGACGGGAGAAAAGACATACCTGTACGGAATCAAATGACTTCGATAGGAGAGAAGCCATGTTCTTGATAACAAGGCAAGGATAACTACTAAGTTTTGTGTGGCTTGTAGTGGTATTCAACGTGGAGAATCGACGTACTGAGGTCCGTTTTATTTATGCGGTTGGCATCATAGAGTGCGCTGATCCGCAATTGATTTTTTTTTTAAAAAAAAACACAGCGGAACATCAACAAGTAGGAGACTCTTCGTATCCACCGAATTCGTCCAGTGATGTGCGGGAATCAATGGACAATGGACGATCCGAGGATCTACAATATCAAGCATATAGAATGGCTGCACAGCACGATACAAAGGCTCGACCCCATTCATGAGGAACGAAGTCATTATTTAGTCCTTCATTCTTGATAAGCTATGTCGTCTAAATTTCCTGGGAGCCTTGGCCTGCGCACTCCAGGTGCTGCGTCATACCGAACTGCCAAGAATTCGGAACCTCTTCGCACTCCAGACGCTGCCAGTGCTTCGTACCGAGCTGCGAATCCTGCCCTTCTGCGCATTCCAGATGCTGCGTCATACCGCGCTGCTCATCAAACACATCTGCACGCACTTACACCCCTTCTAGTACCTCCGACATCAATTGATTCAAATCACTTCCTACCATTCGGGCCGCCGACCTTCATTCTCCTCGATCACCCAGTCTGTGCTCCACTCTCCTGATGCTTATACATCTAGGGCAACCACCGAGTACAGCGTCAGACCACTGGTGCTGCACTGGCGCCTTTGCTACCTCCTCGTGTCGGTGTATCTGGCACAGCGTCGTGCTCTAGCAGATCTCGCGCTGTGTCTTCTGGGTCGTCTATGAGACCGTCGGTCCCTACCACCGAGTTTGCCCCTTCGTTTCCAAAGATGACTGGTCATCGTAACGATACCGCGCTCGTGAATAGTAGCCAGCGTGCAACATCGCACCACACCACTGGGGAGTGGTTTCAAATTTTCATCGGCACAGCCAGCATTCGCCCATTTATCATCCATCTACCCCCATACTGTCTCACCCGATGTTGAAGGGCATTGCATTAATCAATGCCGTGACGGTTGCCGGTTGAGGGAGTTTCGGTGGTACCCAGTATGGGTTATCGCAAGTTTGCCAAACCGTATACTACCACAGTGTCGTGCAACCTGGCACCGCAATACGTCCTAGACCACACTCCAAAACCCATCGCGCTGTCTCCTGGGGTGGCAAAGCCAAAGAAAACGAAGATTATTCCCGATTTTGCCCAGGTCCTGCAGTATGTGCAGACGTCCAGCAATGGTTTCCGCATGCACCACATTCAAAAGGTGATTCTGTTAGTGGAGAAAAAGCCCAAATACCACAAAAGCAACTGGTCCGTGGGCTGTCCCCTTTCAAAGAATCCAGCGATCAAGTTCGCAAGCAAGCGGCCTATGCCTTCATGGCCGACCCCAGCCTTCGCAGGATCAGCACCATCCTCGCATTTGGGGCGCGTTATAGATATGCCGAGATCGCTCGTCCACTAGATGAAGTTTTGGCTACATTGGTAGAGACTAGGTACATGACTTACGGTCAATGCAAGGGACCAATACTAGAAGACGTACCGGATTGGTTGCAATTAAGTGGCCAGAGTGACAACTCTTTTGAGTTGCTAGACCATGAGGGACTGTCAGCACGGGCTTTCGAGATCACAGCACAACGAATTAAGAGACGAGAGAGGGCACTGTGGAATCTATGATCTCTAGCTGTATTACTCTGTACAATGTTTCACTTTACAAGCAATAACCTGTTGGAAAGGAAGCTAGTAGACGAGTCTCAGCGTTAATGATAGAACCGCCGTGTATTGACAGTACCTAGTAGACGAGTCTAGAAACAAATAATCGTAAGAGACAACGAGAGCGTGCAGACGGAACACTCAGCGTTAATGGTAGAACCGCTGAGGTGTAAACAACCGTAGACAATGGCACGATATAGTAAAGAAAAGAGTCCGAGATAATAACAAACGAAAACAGACATTGACGAGTTTACTTTTAACATAACCTTCCACTGGGGTGGAGCGTATTGATGATAGCAACTTTTACATCGATCTGGGACACGCAAATATTTGGCGTACACCACATTTACGCAGTCCCTTCAAGAAGGTGTACGTTCAACGTCGGCTGAATACATCGATTTTCTTGTGGATAAAAACTTTTGCAAGGCGAGTAACATGAGTGTCTTGAATCAATCGCTAGATTGGAAATTTCACGGTTAAGTCCTAGGAGGATTCGGGCACAATTATTGCAGACTTCGAGACAGATAGAAGTACAAAGACAGGAAGAGAGTCGAGCAAATGTGAGCCGAGGTTTTTCTCGTTTTATTCAAGAGTCGGCTGAAGCAGTAAGGAAATTTGTACAGAAGTAAGCATATCGATCAACTCTGCAATGAACTGGATATCATGCGATCAACCACTGTACCAACACGAAAGCAGAAACACGACTTACTGTCGCAATATGCTCAGTCTGCCAGGCTCATCGGAAGGGTTAATGGCAGTACTTGGTTGAACCGTAATCCTATTGGTGCAATGCGCAAAGGGTGAGTCACGGGGTTGAATATTAATCCCGGATGCAAAGCCAACGACTCATGCTTACACCTGTCTTACAAGTAAGACCACTGCAGCAGTCTTCGCCGCTCGCTGTGCCGCTGCAAATCCCGTATGCAGTCAGGCATGCACTGACAGACATAGATTTTGTCAAGGTATTGTGCTAGGTAATATGGGACGCGTCAAGTCTGATGCTGGCAGCAGAAGACGGCTTGCTTGTATGTCGTAGAAATATGCAGCGTTTTTTTGGGAAGTACTCGGCAGTTTTATCAGAACGGTTGCGCCTGGCGGTCTTCAGGAAGAGAGCGAGGTCCGCGGATAAACAATCCAGAACATGTGAACCGTAAATATATGAGCTTTATCACGGTTGAATGTACATACGTGCAGAAGGTAAAGGTCGAATCTGAGACCCAATGCTTTCGTAGCATGTGGCCCGGGTGGGGTGAATGGTTCTAGCGATGGGTAGAGGTGTCACCGGACGTGTTGGGAAATGTAGGCCCTCCACAAAACTCCATCTGCTTCGGATCAACATAGATGCCAAGAAGTACTAAAGTCGTTCTTTGAATCACACGATATACCCTTAGAGCTAGGGGGAGGGCATCAATATTTGCCCAAACTACGACCGAGTGAATACTGATGAACTTTCCGCCCGTCAGCGATGAAGGAGAGGAAGTACTTACCTGACAGCTATCGTTATGTAACAAGGTGGTACGCAAGGAAATCGGGAATCGGCTGAATTCGAAACTTCAGATGGACAGCGAATGCTCTAGATCCCTTACAGGTGCGCATGCACGAACAACCTGTCTTTCAGACTGTACACCAGGGTCCCGACACACAAATTATTCGTGCGCGCCGACGCCAACACTACGACCATCCACCTCGGAAGGATTCAGAATCTAAACCACAGTGACATGGTCTGGCGTGTCACTCTCCGTACCCCCTCACTGCTTATGGACCATCACGCATCATGTGGGACAATGAGAAAGGTGAGGGCCAACGAAGGTGGTGGCAGCGGGCAAGGACATCAGCTTCAAGAATAAGAAGATGATGTAAGTACTCTCTCCCGGTAACTCCCGGGTGACTGCTGACTACAATTCCTGGATGAGTCCTCAAGTAAATGTTACGACCTATACGGATGCCGATTATGAAACCCGGAAGACGGGCCAAAAGGCCTATAGTCTGGTTCTCTACTTATAGTCTTAGGGGCTAAAGGCTCAAACACAAGACTTGCGTTTATTATAGGTAGTGCCCCAATTCTGTAAACTTCTCCATCGATGGGTCATGAGTGTCGATTGCACCTGCTGGCTTGCCCGTTTTGGGGAGCGGAGTACTAGAGCACGGACCATTTACTCCCATTGACAAAGGCTTAAGATGGATATTTCTAAGAAGTACAAGCGGTAGGGGTAGCGGCAGCCCCTTGATGAGAGCTTTCGCAGGCTTGAAACCGCTGCCCTCCGCTTTACTAGCCTCTCCCTCCCCTCGTTGTACCTTTGGGGACGGTGGTCTGCAGCAGGTGCGAAAGAGGTGGTCTGCCTAGTAGTACATAGACTGAATTCTGCGCTCGCCTCGTTCCTCGGCGGCGCAGAAAATAACCTGCGTCATTCTAATTGGTTCCTCGACAAGTCTGTTGAACATTCTAACGCTCGCTATGTCCGTTATAGTAGCTTACTTAAGCACTTACAATTTTTCGTTCGTTCGTAGCACAACTTCCTCAGTGACTCTGTCTAGTTCACTATACTAAGCCTGGACACCAAACGAGCCCACACGCACACCAAAACTCATCAAACGCGGACCGCTTGGCTATTCGTACTATACCTACATCCCTCACCCTGTTACAACACTCCCCAGCACAGCCCTAACAGGGCACCGCGTCTTAACAGCTCACTTTGTTTGTTGCGGTATATAAATATAGAATTTCTCTCTCTCTCTCTGTCTAGTTCACTGAGGTCGGTACACATTACCTATATTGTTGGTGCGTAGCTGATATACTGCAGCAAGTATACTTGCTGCAGAGTCCGCGTGAGGCGTTTATTACAAAATATCCTCATGTCTTTCTCCGAAGTGACTAATCAAATTTCAAGTGACAAGTTGGACTTTCTTCTTTGAGCAGCGCCCATCGATCGTGCGACGCGAGCACGATTTGGCATGGACCTGCGTGTTTGTCGTCAGAACCCTGTGCCACGGATCGGATTAGCCGTAAGCCGACAAGTACTACGTTACACTTATTGACAGCTGTCCTGACTCCATTGATTCAATGATCATGAAAACTAACAGTGATGTTCTACTTGCAGACCAATTCTCAGATATTTTACATTTAAAGCCGAACTAGGTCAGGCCTAGATCCGAGGTAAGCCAATCTGAATTGGCACCGGTGTGAGCAGCCCGCCTGTCGCATCCCAGATATGTAGTATGCTCCACTAATGCATTATTTTGTTGCGCCGGGAGAATCGATATACCATTAGTAACAGATACTTCTCGGTCTTTATTCTGCCAGCCACACCCAACGGATCCACTCACTGCTTGCTCACCATATTTGCCTGATCTATTTGGTGACGACAATCCCGGTCTCAATATCAACCTCACTGCCCCTGGCACCATCGAGCCAGGCCAGAGACGAGCCACATCTGTGACGGATTTAACTCCTACCTGCCAATCCCGGAAACCAACACTGATGTCTGGTCGTGGATTCCAGGCCCCCAAGTCGGAACATCATTCATCAACATTGACAACGATGAGAAATTCACGAAATGACAATCCTGCCTACACTCTCACTGGAAACTCTATCATCCGACAGCTGGCACAATTATTCTGCCAAATCAAACACAATTTTAGGATATAAACGCAAGTTGTCTTCCTAGTGTTGCCATCCTCAGAATTAGTATTCGAGATCCCCCTCCGCAAATTTCATATCACCTCGCACACATAATGCGTTTCTCCTTCCTCGTCATCGTTGTTGCTCTAACAGTATCTATGTCTGTCGCTGGTACATCTTTGCCTGTAACTAGTTCAGAAGGTTCATGTACTCCGCGAAACGAGGATTGCGACGCAGATAGAGATTGCTGTAAGGGCCTTGTTTGTGTCTTTTTGGTGAGTATAAGTAGTGTGGTTTGCATCCAGGATTCAACTGCTTACCCTTTGCGCCTTGTAATATTAATAGCCGTATACTTCATACTGCGATTATAAATGAGTCGGCAGAAAAATTGGCACGTTGCGACAGTGAGTCATGTTTCTGATTTTGCGTCAGTGTTGTGGTTGATGGCACAATCCGTAGTTGATGAATTGATCGATATGGTTGCTTGAATCTTTGTCCGTCTCGTTCAACCGTTCCATCCGGTCGGCGTTGGTTCATTAATATAGTCATGTCTGTAGGTATTCATTATAGAATGATTTCTCTAGTGTATAATGCTTAGCTACCGTTGAAATTGACGAGCGCATCGAGCCTCTCGATATATAATAGTGACTAGCAAAGGCCACGGTGTATCGCTCGTGAGCAATGCATCTACGGGATGTTCAGTAGCGACGGAGGAGTTCAGAGCTTGTCCAGAGCCCAAGTCAGCATCGTGTGGCCAGTTCAAAGATTCAGAACATACCCTGGCATGTATCTCGCGAAGATATGGTTTTTGTCCACTTGGGACCACCATGAAGGTATGAAGTTCACTATTAAACATTGGAGCAGCATGCCACATTGCACCACGCTAACATCGAGTTCGAAGGTGGGCAGGCCGTAATACATATGCGGAGTACGGAGATGAAGTGCAGTACTCCTTCACATGTTCGACCGTCATCAAGCCAGGTGTGGAATTTGGATGCTTCATCTGCGCATTACCCTATCTACGTTGACTTGACGTTAACACAATGTGAACCTTAGTAGATGACTTCAAGAAACACCTTCCTCGACTGCAAATAGATCATCCGTTGTCTGAGAGTGATGGTCCGGGCACTTCGTCTAGGAACAACTGAGGCAATAGAACCACTTGTTTACCTGTGACTTGGATTCCCTTAAAGGTTCCTGCATGCGTAGTCCTGAATCCATCCTGTGGGTCATGATTGAAGTCTTTTTGTCGTCAGCAATGCCCCATGCGCTTCTATTGACAATAATTGAAGTTCAACTCACGACAATCTTTGTTCCAAGAAAACTGGGTTGTATCCGGACACACGATCCGCCTTAGTTGAGAACCCTGGACGCCGACCATAGATTACCCCACCCCATATATAAAGATGCTGGAGGTAATTCCCAGCCTATTTACACAACTGGGTGGATTGTGCTGAGCACCTGCCTGGCGGAGCGGATGCAGAGATGGGACGGCAAGAGTGTGGCATGACCCAGAAAGAAAACTCGTTCTTGATCCAAACGGGACGCCTACATGTGTGGGTAGTGGTGTACTCGCCCGATGGAATGAAGATTACGACGGGTGGAGACTAAAAGAATGCAGGGGTGCCAGGACGGGCAAGCTGCTCTCCATAGTCGAGATCGAAATGCATCAAATTGTGCAAATGGCAAGCCCACGACCGCTTGTTAGATTACATAAACAGTATTAGTACTGCCAAAGTATTCCAGATCTGCAGAGCTTGTGTGGAGGGGTCTGAGCAACACCGTGACACAGATCTCTGTGAGTCTGGACTACGTCTAATACTTGTCCGTGGTACTAGTTATACGCCAGGCTGGTCACGAGCTACTGTGGGATACTATTGCTGGATAGGTACTTTGATAGACTCAGACTCTTCCTGTGCGATATGCAACGAAGCTCTATATAGATCTCCCACCTGCTCCATGTCTTACCTGCGTAATTGGTTCTCGCTCGATACCTCGAGCTCCGCCAACAAGGTTGAGCCCCACATCTCCTACCCAAAACTATCAGCCTCGGTTCCGGAGTTCCATGAAGAAGATGAGGACGATGGATCGGACACGGCAGGTGAAGACGACACACCGCCCGCTTTCCCTGCGATTAACAGTGCACAACGCGCTGCTATACCTTCCTCATCTTCGGACTCATTCGGGGGACTCAGCATACCAACGATACTCACCGACTCAGCACTGATGCCCCCGCCGCCTGTGCCCAGCCTTGCTACACGCCAACCAGGTGTTCCACCTCCAAAGAGTTCATCATCTCTTCTTGCACCTATGACTACGACTCAACCGCCGAAAAGATCTTCCAGGCGGGAGAAAGTGGCTCTAGCGCCTGGATTTGGTCCTCTCGATTGGGGAAATCTCAAAGCATCTGGCCAGAACCTACGAGTAAGCATGTCAATTCATCTTTAGTACCAAATGTAGTGAAATTTTTAAGGGAGTTGATGCATTAATGCGCATCCCGCCATCTGTGCTTAAGTTACACAACAAGAAAGATGATGCTTGGACAGCGATCAATGGAAAGGTATATAATATCACGCCATACCTCCCATATCACCCGGGTGGTGAGAAGGAGCTCATGAGAGTAGCGGGTAGAGATGGAACTAAGTTGTTTTGTGAGTATTTATCACATCTTCATACGGGCTGCACGATTGACCTGGATAATTAGCACTGACTCATGCATGGGTAAATGCGGACTTCATGCTTGATGCATGCCTGGTCGGATTCCTAGTCTCGGAGCCAAGTTCATAATAGATCGGACTTGGCGTTACATGCATATACTTATTTAGATTGCATGGATTAGAACTGCCGGCTACTATCGATATCTGTACCCAATAACTTGCTGTGCTATAACGGGGGCCGCATACCGGGTGATGTGGTGCGATTCGCCTCAAAGCTGACCGCCGGGAGATGAACATTTGTGGACATTTGGGCTGTGCTACTTGTATGTTCTTCTTCTGCTAACTTTACTACTGCAAAGTCCTCATCGCAATCGTAATACTCAGCGCTGCGACTCCCTAAAAGACTATGGAAATCCACTTTTGCCTTTATCATCGCGATAGAAGCGTAGCCACTGAACACATGGCGCCTCTGGCACCGGGTCGTCCGTCGCAGAGCGCAAAGATTGCGTGCTTTGATTATACCTCATCCAGAAATGGTAAGTGAGTGAGAATAACAATCGCTCACATGTTGCCAACATGATGCTGGTTGCGCAATAACACCTTCGACTTGCACCACATTCCGCATTGAGTTTCTGGGAGTAGTCGCCTGACTTCTCTGCTCTAATATAAAGTGCAAGAAATGTGCACTGCGAAAGCTGACATTAGACCCTCCCCTTCTAAACCACGACAGGATGGCACCAGTGGCTATTAACGAGGAAAGCGGCAATGGAACCGTTGACCGTGTTGCAGAGTTGAAGAAAGTTCAAACCAAAAAGCCGATAGAAGAAACTCGGATCATAAATCCCTTTTACTCACCCAGTGCCGGGAACGAGAACGATGATGACTATCAGTATGCCAAGTACAAGGTGAGCACTTTGGATTTCAATCTTGCAAGTAAACACTGACATTTCACGGAGCCCTACTTCCCCGTTGTGAATTGGGAACCACTCTCAGAGATTGAAGTTACCGACCGTGGCCACTTTGCAGATCCAGACAAGAAGGCTCTCTTCAGCGCTGCACAGAAAGTGAAACACCTTACCCCCGCCATCGGCACAGAGTTAGTTGGCATTGACCTCCGGCAGCTGACAAATCCGCAAAAGGACGAACTGTGGGTACCACATATCCACGACCGCGACCACGTTCTGATATGGCCATTTTTCTAGCGCCCTTCTTGTTGCGGAGAGAGGCGTTGTTTGTGAGTACACCTGATGTCACAGAAGCCACTTGGAGGGCTAATATGACACACCCCTTGCTTAGTCTTCCGAGACCAGGAGCTCGACATCCACGAGCAGCTTGACATTGCCAGACACTTTGGACCCCTTCACAAGCACGCGACAACTCCCGTTCCTCGAGAACTGGGCCTTGAGGAAGTCCACAGTGAGTTGGACTGTCGTCCAAAGCTCTTGCACTATTAATTCCAACCTTCAGTCGTTTACAATGATGCTGCTCGACGTCCTGATGCCAGTGCGTTTTCGAAGATCGAGCTTTGGCACAGCGATGTGACGTACGAGATACAACCACCGAGCACCACTTCTTTGAAGGTGATTACTGGTCCCGAGTACGGCGGTGACACGCTCTGGAGCTCTGGGTAAGCACCAGAAGATGACCCATTGTCCAAAGAAGTTCTCCTGACGACCACATACAGTTATGCTCTTTATTCCTCCCTCAGCCCAGGCATGCAGACATACCTCGAGGGTCTTACAGCTCTGCACAGTGCCGTCGCGCAAGCGGATGGATCTCGCGCGGCTGGCCTCCACGTCCGTCGTGAGCCCATTGAGACCGTACATCCTGTCGTTCGTGTCCACCCAGTAACTGGTTGGAAGAGCGTTTATGTCAACCCCGGCTTTACTCGTCGAATACTCGGTGTCCCGAAACCTGAATCCGACACCATCCTCAATTTCTTGTTCCACCAGGTAGCTGAGAATGTTGACTTCCAAGTGCGCTTCCACTGGGAGCCTAATTCAATTGCATTCTGGGATAACAGGGTCAGTACTGTTTCTACATGACGAAGTGCATAGATTTTAACCAGATGCCAGATCGTCACTCATTCCGCGACTTTCGATTTCTGGCCTCAAACCCGCCATGCACTCAGGGCTACACCGCATGGTGAGAAACCCGAGTCTGTTGAAGACTATGAGCGTCGGACAGGCAATGTGGCGAAAGATCGCCAGATTGAGATCTGGAAGCAACAGGGGATTGAGGTTCCTCAATCGAAGAAGGGTCCTTCTCGGGCACGCGGATACAATGACTGAGTTGGAATCCATGCATTGATTAGAGGGTATAACAGAACGCCAAGCCACCGAGGTGCCGGATGGTAGAGATTAACAAGTCACGCAACATACGTCGCAGCTCCAGAGATTCCCTGTCCGTCTGGTATATATAGCTCATTGTCGAATACACCGATTATCACTGGGTCCGATGATAAACACGATTTCGGTCTTGAGCAATCACAAATTTGTAGTTCACTTGAAGTACTATCGCATCACACGTAATGTCGTGACCTAGATATAACGATGTGACCGGGCCTCCGTAATCGGGATAAGTATGTTGCATAACATAATTCTAGGAAACTGGACGACGCACCACGTTCCAACCCGTCGCCTCTCCCGTTCAATATGAAGTCATACAACCCATCCATCATTGTTGTGTATGCCCGATCAACTTTGTCATGAAGTCCATCTGTCCCTGCGTAGGACGCTCTTCTTCAAAGGAATCTTCTTCATCCGAGCACAGAGCACGAGAACGGTGTCCATTTGAATGCTCGTGAGTTCGTCGTCATCATTTTTGTGGCCTGAACTGTAGATGGACGCCATATGTATGCTAAATGAGTTCGTATGCTCGCATCTCGGCAATGTCCTCGTAGCTTTCGAATCGCGACCGGGCAACGCATCTGGGCAGTGTTTCTCCGCAAACTGGATAAGCCATTGGGGAGAGACCGTATTTCGTAGAACTGAACGCGAGGGCGAACAAGTCTGAAGGGCTGTTGTGTCACGGTATCTCCGGTCTGCTGCGAGGTCGCGATCTTAAAGCCGTTAAAAATAAAATAAAAGCGAGCAGAAGCGATTCACCTTTTGGTTTCAGATGCCTTCGATCGATGTTCCTGATAGATAAAGAAGTACTAGTTGCTCTCAAGTGACTCCAGTGAGGACCGTGTAGAACAGATGACACCAAGACGGAATTTTGGTGTAAAGAAATGAGGTGTTGTTCACGATTTCACAGCCACATAGCAAGCTGCGGACAATCCAGCTTCTCCTACGTCTGCAGCGCTGCGCATTGTCCCAGGCCCGGTGTCGAACCATGATAGCAACTCGAAGTGTGCGTCCCGTTATCTTCGAGTACGTAGTGGTTGATGCATCGATGCATAACCGAACGCGCATTAACGTCTATTAACGCCGACGCCGGTCGAGCCCGTAGCTGTACGCTTACGTCCCGAATACCAGGACGTCTTGGTCACCCTGGGATTTGGCTAGCGTTGGAAGGTTTCCAGTGCTCCTGATTGCGTGTGGCGGATCTAGTATATAATGTGCGTATGGTGTATACATGGGTGAGGGCGCTGGCCTAACATGCTTTTCTAAACTCTTCTATGTATGTTACTGATACTTCTAAAGATCACTGATTCCACATTTCATGCTCCCGTCTCTTAATCCGTCGTGCTATGACCTCGAAAGCCTGTGCTGAGTGTCCCATATGGTCGAGCAACTCAAATGATTCATCTTCCATGTCGCTCAACCTGCCCACTTCTTCTGGTACGACCTGTCGCAATGGTTGCAGCCTACTAATATCATATGCCGTGTCCCCAGTTTCATACTCTATCCATCCCTTAAGACACCATCCTGCGGGCGATCGACCTCGACGTACTTCCATCGGGCCCCATACGAGGCGATGATACCGATCTTGCGGAGGCTGGGGTCGCCCACAAAAGCGAAGCATTTTCTTTCTAACGCTTTGAAGATTGCGACTCCCCAACAAACTGGTGATTCCGCCAGACGAAGACCATTCAAACTTGTCCGTTCACCAAAGCAGCCCAATGTTCAGTACTACGGATATGCAGTCGCTACCAAATGGCTTGTCCAGTTCGCAGAACAACACTGGCCAGACGCTCTCCTCGCTCGCAATGACATGTGCTACGAGGATGTTGCCACGACACGAGCATATGAGTATATCTCAGCTTGGTCGGGCATCCACGATTTAGGACAAAAAGACTGTTTCAATCCCAAGGGTGGTTCGGTGCCTCCAGAGTGGATTGCTCTTTACGATGACGTTTACGACGACGTACTCGATGACACTGAACTTGCGGCAATTCAAATTGACACCATCCAGGTGTTCTCTGTGTGCTCGGATCATGACAAAGTTGATCGGGCACCCGCCAGTGGTGGGGTGAGTTGTGGGTATGCAGATTGAGCACGAGTGGAGTCCTTGGGAGGTTTTGGAATGAACTGTGTCCTTTGCATTGCATCGTGTATTTTACTCTACCAATACATAAATTAGGACACCCGTCACGCATACAATTCAAACAACGTGTTATAATGCAAGATCAGAACGTTCAGGAGATGATGTCCGTCTGTTGGATTTACGGTCCGGACATTCAAGCATGGGCGTCTGGCTGGGGGTCAATGTAAGGGGTACAAGAACATTGCCACCACGCGAGCATACGAACTCATATCAGCTTGGTCGGGCCCCATCAAGGATCACTGCATATGATGGTGATTACAACGTCGAACTTCTGGCCATTCCAATTGACATCGTTCACGTAGTTATTGTGTGCTCGGATAAAGGGACTCATTCGAGGAGTGCTACGCAGGGACAGATGAATTTCATGACAAAGTTAATCCTGCATACACCACAATGGTGGGTGAGTTGCGGGTATGGAGATGATTGAGCGGGAGTGGCGACGGAATGAGTTACACTGTCGCAGGCAAAATGTAAAATGTCATATTACAGCAGCACTCCTAGCTGTACAATATGTTGCGAGCGCCCATCGGGCTGAACCATTAGCTCTACGACCATTACCCTCAGATGTAATTTAATAAGTGCTCCAGTCAAAGAATCCTCAGATTGTGCGGATAGTTGTATGTGTCTTGCTCCCTGTTAGTGCTCAAAAACTTCGCGAACAAAAATGATCTACACACATAGTATATAATCACGGACTCCCAGAGCCTTCGCCGTTTATTGCATTGTTGAAAGTTAAGCAGCACTTCGCCAGACGGAATAGTTGTCTTCCGTCCCGATCAATTGCAAGCGATAGTTGCATAGAAATATCATTCTCTTTGGCACCCAGAAACTCAGCGAAGTCACGCAGGGCTTTTGTGCGATGGCTGATGCGTCCTGAAGTCTCCGCGTCCATGTCTGAGTGGTCTCCACACCCTTCTAAGGCCCGTTCGTAGTCGAGTGTACACCGGATCAGATGAAATAGATTTCCTCCGTCCCGCTCAACGGCATCCAGAATGCGCTTGTCCGTTTCACTTTCGCCAAGGCCATCAAGCCAGTCGGCAAATTTGGAGCAAAGTGATACGGTCCCCGACGTGTCTTGGTTTGTGTTTGAGAAACACGATGAAGCTTCGGAAGAACCTTGTTCATCGCTCCTGAAACCTTTCCCGCACTAAAATTTTTCTCAGTGTGGTACCTACATGCGGGCTAACGGAACATACCTGTTTCCTTGGAGGCTGGCGTCCTGTCGATTTACGAGCAACATTCTTTCGGTGGCGCTTTACTCCGCCAGGAGTTGAAGTTGGGGTCGGATGTAGAGAGCCTGACATAGACATGTTAAACGACATGCAAACATATAAGATTCATCAGTTACAGTCGATCATAAAGGCTGCTAGCTGTCGTCAGTACCGAGTACTCGTGTTTAAAACGTTTAAGTACTAGTAGCGCTTTCGTGCACGTGGGACTTCTGTATGTAATAAGACGAACGCTGCCATATGTCGTAAAGGTTTGTGAAAGTCGCTCAGCGCTTAGGTATACTAGCCCACACCCGTTGTGCCTTCGGCACATGTCTACATAATTACATTTACAAAATACTATATACTTTTATTTTAGTTCTGAGGACAGAGGACACGGGAGAATTTTTTGGGAAGGGCAAGAGTCAACAGCAAGACACAAACAGTGAGACTGAAGTTTACCTGGGACACTGGCTTGCAATCCCGTGGCCTCGTACCTCGGCCAGCGGGATGCAAGCCAGTGTCCCAGGTAAACTTCAGTCTCACTGTTTGTGTCTTGCTGTTGACTCTTGCCCTTCCCAAAAAATTCTCCCGTGTCTCTGTCCTATTTTCTGCTTTCCTATCTCCTGTTCTCCTGTTCTCCTGGTCTCCTGTTCTCCCATTCTCCTGTTCTCCTGTTCTCCCATCCTCCCGTCCTCCTCCTCCCATCTCCCCATTCACCCCATTTCTCCATTCTCCACCTTCCCATTCCCATGTTTACCCATTGCCCATTTTTCCTATCTTTATATTTTCGCATTTTTATGTATACGGAATTACAGTACATATATACATCATTGTTGTTTTCACATTTTTCTATTTGCTTAGTGTTCCTCCCCTTGTTGTGGCTCAATTTTTACATGTAACCAATTTTGGACAGTGAGGTCGTATAGTAAGGGAGAACAGTTTTTGGAAATTGAAACTCCGATTGACAGAACCACGCGAAATTTCTAAATCGAGGTTAAGCGAGCTAACCGCAAACCATGTGGCCTTTAGCGAGCTACGCGTCTCCCATACACAGCCACAAAACCGGTCTCCCATAATATTACGAGTCCAAGCCCGTTGTGCCTTCGGCACAGGAAGCAAGCAGAGCACTTTGTGCTCTGCTGGAGGCACCTTCAGTGCTTTGACTCACTGTGTCTGCATATTATTTACTTGTGAGAAATAAATAAATTCTTACATCTTACATTATATAGTTTTGTTTTAGTTATGGGATGTTGCACAAACAGTTTGACTGAAGGTTACCTGGGACACTGGCTTGCGATCCCATGGCCTCGTGCCTCGGCCAGCAGGATGCAAGCCAGTGTCCCAGGTAACCTTCAGTCAAACTGTTTGTGTCATGCTATTGACTCATACACTTCCTCCCAATTATCTGATTTCCTATCTCCCATGTCCTGTGTCCCATGTCCTGTGTCCCATGTCCCATGGTTCTGTGTCCCACTGTCCCACTGTCCTGTTGTCCTGTTGTCCTGTTGTTTGTCCTGTTGTCCTGTTGTCCCATGTCCCGTTGTCCCGTGTCCCACTGTCCCATTGTCCCGTGTCCCACTGTCCCATTGTCCCGTGTCCCGTGTCCCGTGTCCCGTGTCCCGTGTCCCGTGTCCCGTGTCCCGTGTCCCATTGTCTGTCCTCCTGTCTTCCATCCTCCCATTGTCCTCCCATTGTCCTCCCATCCTCTTGTCCTCTCATCCTCCCATTGTGTCCTCTTGTCCTCCTCTTGTCCTCCCATCCTCCCATTGTTCTCCCATCCTTCTGTTGTCCTCCTATCTTCCTCCCATCCTCCCATCCTCCCTATTCACCCCATTTTTCCATTCTCCATCTTCCCATTCCCGTGTTTACCCATTGCCAATTTTTCCCATCTTTATATTTTCGCAATTTTGCATTTTCACATTTTTCTACTTGGTGTTTTCTTTTCTCTTTTCCCCACAAAAATCCCAAAATCCCTTGTTGTCCTTCAATTTTTACTATTTATCATGTATTCACAGTTACAGTACATATATAAAATCATTGTTGTTGTGCAAAATGGAGGGCCAGTGAGCACCTGCCAATCCCATCTTTCTATTTTCGCATTTTCGCATTTTTCACATTTTTCTATTTGCTTGGTGTATCCCGTTTTGGCTCAATTTTTACAAATTCCCAATTTTGGACAGTGAGTTCGTATAGTAAGGGACAATGGTTTTCGCAACTTCAAACTCCGCTTGACAGAACCACATGGGATCCCTTTTTCAGCGACCTTAGCGAAATAAGCATTCCAAGCGGCTTGTAAACGAAAAAACCGACGCTGGCGACACCATGTGCACTATGCGGAAATGCCCAAATCGTCCCACCCCTTCCCCCATACCATTCTCCCTTACTTTATAGACTAGCCCAAGCCCGTTGTGCCTTCGGCACAGGAAGCAAGCAGAGCACTTCGTGCTCTGCTGGAGGCACCTTTGGTGCCTTGTCTCACTGTGTCTACATATTATTTAATTATAACAAATCAATAATTTCTTACATTATATAGTTTTGTTTTAGTTATGGGATGTTGCACAAACAGTTTGACTGAAGGTTACCTGGGACACTGGCTTGCGATCCCATGGCCTCGTGCCTCGGCCAGCAGGATGCAAGCCAGTGTCCCAGGTAACCTTCAGTCAAACTGTTTGTGTCATGCTATTGACTCATACACTTCCTCCCAATTATCTTGTCCCATGTCCCATTGTCCCATGTCTTGTTGTCCTGTGTCCTGTTGTCCCATTGTCCCATGTCCCGTGTCTCATTGTCCTGTGTCCCATTGTCCCGTGTCCCATTGTCCTGTGTCCCATGTCCCATGTCCTGTTCTCCCGTTCTCCCATGTCCCATGTCCCATGTCCTGTGTCCTGTTGTCCTGTTCTCCCGTGTCCCATTGTCCCATGTCCCATTGTCCTGTCCTCCTCTTGTCCTCCCATCCTCTTGTCCTCCTCTTGTCCTCCCATCCTCCCATCTTCCTATTCACCCCATTTCTCCATTCTCCATCTTCCCATTCCTCTGTTTACCCATTGCCAAATTTTCCCATCTTTATATTTTCGCAATTTTGCATTTTCACATTTTTGCATTTTGCATTTTTCACATTTTTCTACTTGCTTGGTGTTCTCTTTTCTCTTTTCCCCACAAAAATCCCAAAATCCCTTGTTGTCCTTCAATTTTTACTATTTATTATGTATTCACAGTTGCAGTACATATAAAATTCATTGTTGTTGTGCAAAATGGAGGGCCAGTGAGCACTTGCCAATCCCATTGTGGCTCAATTTTTACAAATTCCCACGTTTGGACAGTGAGCTCGTATAGTAAGGGACAACGGTTTTTGCAAATTCAAACTCCGCTTGACAGAACCACATGGGATCCTCTTTTCAGCGACCTTACCGACGCAACCGACGCAGCCGAAACCATGTGCGCTACGCGAAAATGCCCAAATCCTCCCACATTCCCCCCCTCCCTTCTCCCTTACTTTATAGACGAGTCCAAGCCCGTTGTGCCTTCGGCACAGGAAGCAAGCAGAGCATTTCATGCTCTGCTGGAGGCACCAAAGGTGTTATGATCAGCGTTCACCAAATGGTAAAGGCCTAACACAACCACTAGGACTTGTCAAGGATAAGAGCAAAGAGATGATATTGAGAGTGAACGTCTGAGTCTACACTGGGTAGGAACGAAGAGGTTAAGTCTAAAGAGAAACTACGCTAACTATCCTACCTATATACATAACATTGAGTCAGAGTTATCTGAGTCT